CAAGAAAGAAAGAAAAAAGAAGAAAAAAAAAAAGAAAAACACGTTTGCTTTTATTAGTACTATTTCCTATCCCCTAAGAGAGCTCGCTGGAAGGCAGCTTAGCCGCCCTACATCTCTCCCTATTACCAAACTGCTCTTTAGCACCAGGCATCTAGAAAGCTAGTAATAGCTTAGCTAGATAAAGGCCGAAGCACCCTAGCTACACTTTATAGCAGAAACCTCCAAATTGTAAATAAAAACTAGATAGAACGGCCTACGGCCAAAGTCTTACATAGCCAACGGCTGATACAGGACTATAATGGAATATATATATAGTGAGCAGCTAGATGACGTCAATCGACGCGCGAGTTGCTCTTTACGCGGTGACGCGAAAACACGTGACTCGACTTATGAGGCGAAATCAGACGGCCGATTGCTGCCTTGCGCAGGGGGCGACCCACTTTTCGTAGCAGCCAGCCAATGACGGGACGCGCGCGGGCCGCTCCCAAAGTCTCACAAGCCGCGCGACAGGTCCAAAGTTACTTTCATTCCCTTTTGACGTGTCGAGTCTTCGTCTGCTTTGGTTTTGTTGCTAGCAAGGTGTGTACCGGCCTCAATTGCAATCGCGCCGAGGACTAGTCTGCGAGGCACTTTCACGCTGACCCTCTGCCATAGAGCCTGTTTCCTAGGGCAACCCTCCGCCGCATCCCACCCCACCTCCATTGCGTTCCAATCTTTACACTCCTTGCCTTGTCCCGGAAGGCAAACGTCCGCCTCGCCGTGTCGACGTATGCGAACCGTATCTACCTTCGCTGCTTTTGCTGTTTGGCTGCTGCCTACCAATACTCAGCCCGCCAGTACCTACTCCACTTCGCTCTTTGGCATCGCATCGATTCCAGGACGCGAATGAGATATTCAAGGCGACAGTACAAAGAAGTACACATTTGAATTCCACTTGAAAAAGCGCTGGCCTGAGCAAAGTCTCTGCCTGGTGCACTATAGAACGACTGGCTGTCGAAGAGCGCGCAAAAGAAACGTCAAGGAGCGGACTTGTCGCAGCTTGATTCTCATGACTCACTGCTACGTCCCATTGACTTGGAGAACGTAAAGAAAATATCGCGCAACTTCGAGGGCTAGATCCAAGCCGTCCTGCGTTGTGACCCAAGGTCGCTTTCCGTCTGCTTCATTCACCCTCCACGTACACGGCCCCATATCGTGCCTACGTTGCCCAAGTGATCGCCTGCTTTGCTTTCAGCGCAAGCGACAGTCCCCGCTAGACCCCCATTGCGCGATACCCCGCAACGCGCTATCTACCCTCCACAGATACATAAATTGCCCTCTCAACCCCTCCGTTTGCTCTACGGACATTATTCTGAGCCACAATGGAGAATGAGCCTTCCCAGCCTACTCAGCCTTCCACACAGCAAGTGCTGGACCCTCGTCGCTTAGGTAGGAACAACTCGGGCTTGAACGACTGCGACATCTCGGATGTCCTCGTCATTCTGCATCCAGCTACACCGACTGCCATCAAAATTGTCGAGCATGCGGCACAGCACAGGCCCGAGCATGTACTGTTCCGGAATTCTGTCGACTCCATGGGCGAATCAATCAGTGATGCTGAGGAGCAAGAAACTTTCATAATAAACCCACATCCAGACCAAACTGGACGCAGTTCTCGTGCTGGGGCTGACCTTGCCCTTCGCCTCTCGTCTGCAAACAAGTTGAAGTTCAAGCAGCTTGGCTTCATATTCGGGCGCAACCATCAGAGCGCCGATATCATCTTTGGTCAGGACTCTGGAAAGAGGATTAGTAACCAGCACTTCCGAATCTACATTAACATGGACGGTCTGCTCATGCTCGAAGACATGTCCACAAACGGCACTATTGTTGATGAAGCACTTCTCAAGTGCAAAGACGCACGCTTTAGCAAGATCCGAATGCTAAGCTCCGGTTCCATCATCTGCATACAAAACTCCAATGATGCGGAGATGATCAAGTTCATCGTCCGCATTCCTTCACGAGTGTCCTATCAGGAGCGCTTCCGGGAAAACCTCCGCAACTTCATTACCGAGTGTACGCCCGACTTTGGTGAGGAAAAGAGCAAAGTGGTGCAGCGAGTGGCGAAACAGTATGGTGGACCTTCCATGAAATGGGATGGTGGGAAATACTACAACATCATCGGTATATATCATCGGTTTCTCAAGTCTAACCTATACTAACCCCTGGCAGGCCAAATTGGCAAAGGTGCTTTTGCTACCGTCTATCAACTCGCGGTGAAGATGACTGGCAAACTGCTAGCCGCAAAAGAACTCGAGAAGCGGCGGTTCATGAAGAACGGCATGCTTGATAAAAAGATTGACAACGAAATGAAGATTATGCAACATCTTCGGCACCCTAATATTGTAGAATTTGTTGAATACTACGATCAAGGCGACTATTTGTACATCATCATGGAGTATGTCCGGCAAGGTGACCTACAAGGCTACCTTAACCAGCATGGCTCGATGAAGGAGGAGACTGCCAGGAGCATGGCTCAACAGATTCTGAATGCCCTGAGCTATCTGCACCGAGCTAAGATCACTCACCGCGACATCAAGCCTGATAACATTCTCATCGCTGATCTTGATCCTTTCACCGTCAAGCTTTCAGATTTCGGCTTGTCAAAGGTCGTCAAGCACGAGGAGACCTTTCTCAAGACCTTTTGCGGTACTTTGTTGTACTGCGCTCCAGAGGTTTTTCCTGATTTCAACGGCCAGTCAAAGGGCACCAAACGCCGGCGTGGAGCCAAGGTGTACCATTCCTATAGTTCGTCAGTCGACATATGGTCCTTTGGAGGTGTCCTCTGGTATGCACTCTGCGGCGAACCTCCATTTAGGGGTATTGCCGACGCCACCGGTGAGGCCATGTACAATAACATCATGGGCACTCCACTCGATCCAACGCCACTCCGCAAAGCAGGTGTTTCTGCAGTCTGCATCGACCTCTTAACGCAAATGCTTCGAACAGATCCTTCCGAACGGCCGACTGATCGTGACTGCCTAAACCACCCATGGCTCAAGGACGGTGCGATAATCCCTGCTGATCCCGCCTTGCAGTCCATCATCGAAGAGGAGGAAGAAGAAGAACAGGAAGAAGAAGCTGAGCAACAATTGTCGCAACTTCGTCTTCAAGAAGAAGAGATTCCAGAGTCGGATGACGAATCTGATGTTCTCTACGATGAACAACTCATGGGTTTTGTCACAGAGCGACAGCCAAAGCGAGTCCGTGCCGACCCTCTATACCCCCGGGATCAGATCAGGGATCGCGACGAATCCAGTATGGAGCCTTCTTTTGCTTCGTCTCATCTAGTCCCTGAGGGTGAGAGTTTTCAGGTTATGCCGACACCCAGGCGGCCTCTCTTTGGTGAAATTGGACAGTCTGCTTTGGAAAGTTCAGGAGTACTAAGTGCGCATGCCAACGATGCTCTATCACGTGAGGAATCTATCCAGCTTGCGCAGAATGACGGCGCTGCAGAGTCGAGCCACACTGAAGATGGCTCAGACTACGAAGGACCTTTCACCGCACCCGCACGTCTAGATCATGGTGTGTCATCTTCTAGTCTATTGGGCACCGAATCTCTGGTGAGAGATCTTAACATGACATCGCCTCATTCTCCTGTCTCTCGAACGCAAAGTCCCGTCATGCCAGCAACACCCAAAACACCAGAAGTCGTTCAGCATAGCTCTCTGGACCAGTCGTCTAAAGACTTCAGCCAAGTGAGTGAGCCGACCCCAAGAGCACGGCCATCCGGGATGAACCGGCTGATTGAGCTGCCGGTTACTGCATCCTACTACTACGACCCAAGGGACCCAGATACACACAATTTGGAATATGCTTCTAAGATAAGCGGGCATGACTTTTCAACCATCAACCAGGATGCCACGAGTGAGACGTCTGCATACCCAGATACAGTAGGGGTGTCACGGACAAGTGAAACATCAGCAGCGTCAAGTGCTGCAGCAGCTCCTTCTCCTGCTGCTGAGATACCGTCTGTCCCCACTGAGCTGGATTTCCGCCCACCTCCAAGGCGACTGGGCAAGCTTGTTGCGACACCAGATTCGTTTGCTCCCAACCTCACTCTCAACATCACCCAAAGCAAGACTTCGTGGGGTCGTCTCGCAAACAATACTATTGTATACGAGCACAGTCGTGACACCCGTGTTCCGAAGACAGCATTCATCATCTTCTTCTATTCGCCCAGCGGTCAGTCCCAGGGGACCGTTGACGATCTCTCTCAGCAAGGCAAAGATTGGACTAGTTTGCAGGACCTGCACGTCGGCATTTGGACATGCGCTACGCACGGCATCTCCATCAATGGCAAGCATCTCAAACAACAAGACGAAAAGAAGCGCGCGTTGTTTGGTCATTTGCACACTGGCGATATTGTGCAGGTATACCACGACTCGCGCGGAACCGAATGCCTCAAGTTCCAATGTGAATTCTACCTTGGCTTTGGCAAGGATCCACGACCGCCAGGCAAGAGCTTCAGTACACTCATTGGGAACAGGCTTTCTCAATAGGCCGGGATTTAGTTTGCTTCATCTCCACTTCCATATTGGGGTTCCAAGGTATTTCGTTTCCTTCTATTGGCTTCTACAGAATCGTATTACCTTAGGTGTTTGGCAACCTTTTGTACTACCATTTTTCTCACTCATCACCTTTATCGTCACTTGCATATCTTTTTTTCCTTTTCTTGTAATAGCAGCATTACTTTGGCTAAAGGGTGGCATGGTTCCCTAGACTGAAAACGCCATGGGGAGGGGGAAATTGTCGTTTCTTTTGGCATGGAGGGAAAGACTAGGGGTCAGGTGGGTTATATCATGGGAGGTATTCTACATAGTTTAGATATGTAGGTTTCAGAGCGCGTTGGAGATCCAGCGATTTGTTACCAACGTATTATAGTGTTGAAGTGGCACAAAATACACGAGTATATTTCGAATTCGAGGAATAGTGTAGATGCAAGTTGGAACAGTATGTTGTGAGGGCCATTGCGCATGTTTGATGTCTTTTTGGAAATCCTACCAGGCTCGATATATCCTTTGACTGGTGGGCTAATCATGGTTATGCTCAGTCTTTGATGAGAAGTCGCTGTTCTCTGTATATGTACTTCCTACTGACGGGTGTTCGAACCATCTGCTGTTCTGCGGTTCTATCAAGTCTTTTTAGTAGGAGAGCATGAGAACTATAGTCAGACAGAAGCTAGATTAAAATGTACAAAAGATCTTTATTCATGGGACGGCTAAAACATTAGGTTTCGCGAAAGAATGAATAACGGTGATTTTGTTTACTAGCAGGAGTGAGGATCGTATTGAGACTATAATTACAGGAGAATCCTGTATATTTCTTGAGGCTTCTGCAAAAAAACGTTCTTAGCACGTTAACTGTGAGATGTCTAGACTAATAGCGTGAGAAAGGTTTCATGATTTGAACCCTGAGCATCGTTACGTAGAATAAACTTGAGACAGAGATAAGCAAGGAGCGCACTTCCATCTCGCAAAATTAAAACATTTGATGAATTTGCCCACATTTTCCCCATATCGGCTACTAAGTTCAGGTTCAGTTCAACTAATACAAGTCAACGCCCTACAATCAAGACATTTACGCCCTGGATACAGCCCCCTTCCGGCATGAGCGACATGAAAACAACAATTTCTCCTCTCCAACAACTTCTTATGCATGAGAAGGATGTTATTTTTTTGAACAACTTGAGCTTCTCTCATAACGTCGCATCGCTAACCTCTCGTCTATCAGCTCACACAGTTGCGTATGTGCACATAAAGGCAAACCCAGAACCGCCATCACTCACAGCCATCTGAATACTTCATCTCACTTACTCATAATCATCACCACCGCCTTTGAACCCACTAAAAAATGGTAAGCCTCGGATACATTACGCTACCCCGCCCTAACATCATACATATACATAAATAGCAGGTATTCTTTTAGTTTGCAAATCGCCACACTAATTTCTCATCTCCTACTTCTCACCGAAAAACATGGACACGTGCCACTTATTGTCCTATTACACTGTTAGCTTATCGAGGAAAGTGAGAACTAAGACCGAGTGCGGCCGTGACTTATTGTGATAGCTGTAATCTTAGATAGGGGAGTCACCAACGAACAATTGGAATGCGGATTGCAAAAAGATAGCCATGGAGCGTAGATAATTCTCCAGACAGGGGGATGCACGACGGGATTGTTACTATACCCTTAAGTGGAACTTTAGTATCCAATACGCCAAGACAAAATACCAGATTAGTAAAATTACATACGGTATCTTCCATCCCGCCACGACGAACATGAACACATGAACATGCCGATACTATTCATTTTCGGATACATCTATATTAACATTTCTCTACTACGCTTCTAGTGCTTATCCATTCACGCAAACAGACCCGAAACAGAGAAACCTACCCATCATGACTAGTACAAGCACAATCTCCACACCCGACCGCCAAATCCCTCATTTCCCGCCATATCTCACACCGAAAACTCCATCTCTACAGTAAAAAAAACCTTTCTAGTGCTTATCTCATCCCAGGTATCAATCCCACACTACCTCTAACCTCCCCTATATACCCTAATTATACAAAAAAAACCCATATATCACCCACCCATACACACCTCCACCCTTCACAAACCCAAAAGCCAAAAACCGCCAGAGAAGGAAAAAAATGCATCTCCTTGCCACTCTCCTTGTCACCCTCCCCTTCGTGGCCTCAGTCTCCGCATGGACTAATCTCGTCCCAACGTGCCAGACGCCACCTGCACACTGGGGTGTACGTTTTCCCTTCATCCCTTCCCTTACACTCTCACTCTATACCAAAGAAATCCTCGAAGCTAATCTTTCATAACAAAATAGCGAAACGGCAACTGCGCACCAGTAGATAGAGATAGGTGTATTACTAATACTGCGATTTGTCGGCTTGTAAGTTGCTCTACCTCTCCCTCCCTCTCTCTCTCTCTCTCTCTCTCTCTCTCTCTTCTCTTTCTTTCTCTTTCTCTTTCTTTGATTAGTTTGGGAAAAGAGGACAAGGGAGAAGAAAGATGAAAAAGATGATGGTTAATGGAAATGATAGTGTCCTGGACAACTTCGCTTGCATTCAACGTGGGCGGCGCCGAATGGAAGGTGTGATTGTTGGTGTTCGAATGCGTAAGAAAAAAGGAGGGTGAAGGGGGTTGAAGAAGTAGTTTGTTGTATGAAATTATGTAATATCATGTTATTGAGAGATGTGGTGTTTAAGTGGTGGTACGAAACGGGGTTTTTTTTTGATATCCGAGGTCTGAGATGAAGGGGCAAAGGCTGATGGGTCTCTCAGGTGATTTAAGATGGATTAAGTTCAAGTGGTTCAAGACGGGGCCAGCCAAGGAGAGAAAGAAGGTGCATAAATAAGCATGCGAAATAATTTCAAAAAATCCGTCCCCAATCCAAACAAGTAAAGATATACATCAAAGACATCAGCACACAAGAGCAAGTACATATGTTGGAAAATAATTAATTCCTTTCAACTACGGATAATTGTACACACCATACACGCCCGAGCGGGCGACGAAACAGCGACAATAAACTAGCTACATGGAAAGAAGGAGCGACGGGTTTCGTAGATATACCCCCAACGAGCACTTCGTTGTGGAATTGGGTATATACAAACGTTAGAACAACAAAGTTAAAAAAGAGTGCGAACGGATGGCCAAAATCGCCTTCCCTGATCCCTTTCCAAAGACCATCTTGTTCTCTCTCTCTCCTGATACATCCCAAATAAAGTTATATCCACCACCTAATGTTGTTTAAAAAACCCTTCAACTATATAGACAAAGCTTCCTTGCTTGCTTTAGTTGAACTAAAGACTGTTTTCCGGCTAGCACGCAACGCTTCGCCAATAGAAGTAGCGGTAAGCACTACAAGAAACAAAAAGAAACAAGAGATGTCGAGTATTGAAAAGCCGACGGCAGGGCAAGCGAAGATACGCAAATGGTCGTTTCCCGGTACACTACTAATTAGAAACACCACCAACACCATGCTACCAAAAACATACTTAAGCTGTAGACGCAAATGAACAATTTACTAAGGAAGTATCAAACCATAGGTGCAATACAGTCTAGTCACCGCTCGCATTGTTCGGCTTCGGCAAGGCATTCTTTGCCTTGGGTGTCGGATCTGGATCTGGACTAGCCGTTTCCTTTTGTGCCTTTGGCGTTTCCATGACAAACTCCTCGACGTCATCGCCGGGTTGTTCGGGGAAGATGACGGGCGGTGTGAGTAATGAAGGTGCAGACCCGGATGTGGGAAGGTTACCTTCATATTCCTCTGCTGCCCGATCCTCTGTGATCATGGGAGGTGGGGACGAAGGCAACGTCGAATCTGGCTGGCCAAGGTCTTCGACGGAAATGACACTACCTCTGCTGTTTGTGCGCATCATTTCAATCCCGAGCTTCGAAGTTGACTTTGGTCGCGACTTTGGGCTCCGAGTACGGATAGGAGCGTGGCCCAATTCGTCGTCCTCGTCGTCACCAGACTCTGCTGATTCATGCTTTCGTGTTTCGAGTATACGGCGCTTTGCGCCCACTTGCTCTGTCGATCTCTGACGGCGGATCGTTGCCTCCTCGAGAGAAGGTTGTGTGGAGTCCCCGTGGGGTAGGTCAGGTGGACCGCCACGATTGGAGGGAGCATTCTTGGTATCTGCATTAGCGGCATCATCCCCAATTGCCAGACCACCTATGGCTCGCGCCATATCTCGCTCCCGCCAATCGTCTGTGTTGTGGATTCTGACAGGTATGTCCTCGCCTGCGCGACTGTCGTTGTCACCAAAAAAGCTAGAGCTAATCGAGTCTTCGCGGCTAGAGCCTCGGTAGCTGGCCGAGGGCACAGCCGGGAAGCCTGACGAATGCGAAGAGGGGCTATCTTCCTGGCGCGAAGACTCTTGACGGAGGCCAGACGCAGGCATGATCGACGGGAATGATTGATTTGGCGTCCATCCTGGCGGGGGCGCTTTCCATTGACACAACCTGCTTAGCGTGTCGGTGAGCTTAGCAACTGTGGGTGGCTTCTCAATGAGGGCGTCGAAATAGTGTGGTGCTTGGAGTTCCTTGAGATACCCCGTGACAGCAACAATAGGAGTGTGCGTGTTCGCGTTCTTTGTGTCGCGGATCATGCGGGCAACGTCTGCACCATTGACTTGAGGCAGCCGGAACTCCATCATGATGACATCAAATTTGACTTCTCCCATAGCGTAACGGATTGCCTCGGAGCCATTGGTAACTGTCAATGTACGGCAACGCAGCTTTTCCAGCAGCTTCTCCATGACAAGTCGAGAGACCGGATGGTCTTCGCAGATCAAGACGTCCAGTGGCCGGAAGAATGGGCCGTCGCCAAAGCTGATCTGAGACAACCTACGAGAACTTTGTCTGCGTCGCTGTACGCGGAGAAGAGCTTTGGCGCGAGAATCCTCGGTATCCGATGACGATGGTGAGACGTCAAGGACCTGGCTTCTTCGTTTGTAGTGTCCTGGCAGCAAGTTGTGTATAATGTCCTCTTCTTGAGATCCAATGGTCTGCGATCGAGCCCGAGGCGAGTCGGCGATCGCGGACCCTGTAAATGTCTGACGTTGTCCAGCTGCAGCTTTGTCTTGAGAATTCCCTGTCGATGATGGGGTTTTGGGGAGTTTGATTGGCGAAATGCCATCCGGAGACGGCCTCATGCCTGATACGCCGGGCTGCAGTGTTGAAGGGTTACTCGTCGAGTGCGACAATGTAGACGAGCTGCTAGACGTTTTTCGTCTGTCGTGGTGTTGTCCAGTACTGAATTGTACGAGCAACGGCGAGGAGGGTTGCGAGCCACGACTAGGAGAGGAATGTGGTCCGCTAACAGAAGGAGACGATGGCCGTCCAGGGGCTCTGTTGGTAGAAAGCGTACGTTTCAGAGAACCAGGTAGCATTGGGCTGTTCTCCAAAGATGGCGAAGGCGATGTAACGTTGGGCGATTGGAGAGGAGGCGTTGGCTTGTTCTGCGGGAGCATAGCTTCGGCACGCAGTTTTTGAATCACGTCCTTGTTGGCTTTTTCTAGAACCGGTAGATTCTTGTAGCTGAAGTTGCCAAAATCGTCAGCAGCCATGGGCTCGCTAAGCCGCCGTGTCCTGCCCTCTCGAACATGCGCTGGGATATGAAGCGGGATGAGTCCACGCTTCATGGTCGACACGGTCACTTGCGACCGTACTCTAGATAGAGCATCATGAGGTCGATCAGGGTAGTCGGCACTGGGCGTGCCTGCAGGTGTAGTAGCCTGGTCTTCGAACTCTGGATTGAAGTTGCCCATGGCTGCTCCTCTAGAATCAAAGTACTCTGTATCTTCTGGGTTTTCAGGTGCAGGAATGAACGAAGCTTCGTCGTCTCGCAGCGTGTCCCAGTTGATGCCAGCGAACCAGGGGTGGCTTCTGATCTCCTCACCACCACTAGCAAACTTTTCGTCCTTATTTGCACCCAATCGCTCCGCCGGATCCGAGCACATGAGTCGATTCATCAAGTCTTTTGCTTCGTCTGAGATGTCATAGAGCTCATCGTCGTCCGCTGGCCAGTCAATTTTTCGCGCAAGGATATTCTGGAACACTTCATCTGGGGTATCGGCATGGAAAGGTGGGTACCCATAGAGCGATTCGAACAAGATGCACCCTAGGGACCACCAATCGCTGACTTCATCCTGGCCATTGCCTGCAATAGTCTCTGGAGCCAGATAATCAGGAGTGCCAACGAACCGCCGATCGCTGTCTTCGGGGTCAAACAAGGTCATGGGCGGAGGTGGCATTGTAGAGGTTGGGCCGAGCACGCTGTTCTGAGCCAATCCGCTGTGGCTCATTGAGACGGGTACTGCGTATGAATCTGGCGAGCCGTCGTCACTAAGCGCTTCCTCTTCTATAGGCGATCTTCCACGAGGGTGACTGAACGAGTCGTCAACTATTGAAAAACGGCGGAACATGGCTTGCAGTGCATCACTGTCTTGACTATCGCTCCGAGTTCCTGAAGGCCGTCTCGACCGTTCACGGCTTTGCTGCGAAGTCTCTCGGTTCAGGCTAAAGTATGACGGCTGGCCAATATCACCGGTAAGCGCGGGTGTCATAGCCGGTGTTTGCGTAGGTGAGTGGTTAAGATCAAACGACGCAGACCGTGACGACCCCACAGATGTTGCACGATGAAAGGGACCTGTCTTCAGCAGGTCGGGTGCCGGCTCCACTGATTTTAGGGCACGCTTTTGACGGCCAATCATACCCATGCGTGACAAACCAAAGTCAGTCAGCTTCAGATGGCCTTTGCCGTCAATGAGAAGGTTATCAGGCTTCAAGTCGCGGTGAACAATGCTGCGGCTGTGCAGATGCTCTACCCCCAGAACAACCTCAGCCAAGTACTTCTTAGCCCAATCTTCAGGCAGAGCTCCAAGAACTTTGATCAGCGAAGCGCAATCGCCACCATTCAGGTATTCCATGACCAGATACAGATAATCTTTGCTGGAAAAGGTCCAGTACAACTTTGCGACAAAGTCACTCTCGCCTTGCCACATCATAATGGCACGCTCAGCTTTGACGTTGGTGACTTGATTTTTTGCAACCATATCGGCCTTTTTCAGGACCTTGATGGCATAATACTCGCCAGTGGACTTTTTCTTTGCAAGGTAAACACTGCCAAAGGCGCCCTTGCTGATTGGCTTAATGATTTCAAAATCTTTGATAGACGGGGGAACCGCCCGTGGCTGTGGCTGGGTGGAGGCAATGAGGCGAGGGGAGATCGGCCTCGGGCCGTCTGAGCCAGCAGTAGATGACTGTCTGCGGTGATGTTGTATTGTGTGCATCATGGCCGGCGACGAAAACTCGGTTGTCTGTAGGACGGGTGAGGTGATTGGTGAGTGGATACCTTCAACACCACTAGGAAGGCGTGGCTTGGTTGTCCGAAGAGGTGAAGAAGGCGGGGGCACCATGGAGCGAGCTGGCGATTGCTGCCGACTGGACATGACACTCGGCAGTATCAAGCTCTTGCGCTTGCGCTCTCGCGAGCTAGCTACTCTACCTAAGCCAACATCAGAGGTCGCGGGCGAGTCGGCTCGGCGCGGACCAGAGAGTACAGACGAACGCATGCTGGTGTCACTCTCGGCACCATTGTCACTTTCAAAATGCATGGACTGGCGCTTGTTGTGTGTTGCTATACTGATGGCACCAACGTGTGATCGTGGTGTTTGGCATCCTCCTCTTGGACTGCTAGATCTATTGGAGCCAGCCACCGAAGACTCGCGGCGCCCCACTCGTGCTGGCAACGAGGCATCTGATGTGCTGCGCAGGGCATGCGCCATTGAAGAGGGGGGATCAAATGAACATGGGAACATCCCCTCTTCACCGGGGGCTGTGTCGGTAGCTGTATCTGCGTCGTTGGTATCTGACTGTACTTCTTCCTGTCGCTCATCCTCGGACGAGCTGTCTTCGCCTGCAGCGATACGCGCAGCTTTCAGAATGGCGGCTTCAATGCACTCCTGAACCAAAATGTCAAATTCGATGCGCAGCCGCTCAGAGTACTCGAGAACACGTCGGTGGCGTGTGACGGCGTCAACCTTTGCTCTTGCAAGTTTACTAGTGTCTTCACACAACAGCTTGAGGCCCTCAGTATGGTCAGCTGAGCCCGTAGTGGGCGACTGCCATTGGAGAACCTGTGATATGCGATTCTCAGATTGTGGCGATTGGGTGCGAATCTCTGCGACTGACTGGCCGCGGGTATTGTCCTTGACCGCTGGTGTGTTGATCTCAAGAGCGGTGTCGCATAAGTCGAGGACTAACTCAACGATGCGCGCCAAGGGTCTTCGGACGGCAAATGACCGTGCACGATGATGGCCAAACCCTGATGGGCGCTCGGAGCGCTCGCGAGATCGCGAGGGCGGGGATGCTGGAGAGTTGCGGCCAGAGGGAGTGCCAGAAGGACTGCCCGAAGAGGGACTCGATGTCGAGTGGATGATGAGGCCTTTGTATTCTGCGGGTTGAAAGGGTTGTACAGAATCTATCGAGGTAGGTCTTGAGCGCTGGCTGTGAGACTCGAGAGTGTCGAGGACCTTGACAATCGCGTTGCGGTGTTCTGCAAGAGTCTCTTGGGCCATTTGCACATCCATTTCTGCGCGGTGCTCCTGGAGACAGAGTTCAGAGTGCTTCTCAAACCACCAAGGGGTAATCTGCCGTTCACAAATGCGGCAGAGAACAGGTAGTGGCGGAGCACAGTTTCCAGGATCGGTAGTACTTTGTTCGGCAAGGCCTGTCAGGTAGTGAGCGAGGACTTCTGCTCCGACGCCAAGGGCCTCGACAAGGACCTCTGGAAGATCAATGGTGACCTCACGAATGACCGAGGGTCTCACCATCCACATGGTCTGGAAGTGTTAGTTAGTAGTTGTGTGCGAATATCGTCGATGTATTTCCGGTACGTACGTGGCTCTCGGCTCCAGTTGTTCGATCGTAGACCATGATGCCCTGGGCTTCTACATTGAGGAATTGTTCCTCCTCGTCGGGTACATTGGTTGGTGAGCGTGGCGTAGACTCTTGGCCCTGGGCAACAGAGTGCTTGGGCCGTCGTTGGCGCAGAATAGAATGGGGACCTAGTTGGATGGTGAAACGGGCAATGTGGCTCCTCGAATCGTCCTTTCTGACGGACTCGATTGCTTCCGCAAAGCCGTCTGCGCTGGAGCATATCAAATCGAGCACCGGCTTGCCCGTGACTTGGGCGGGCAGAGTGCCAATGACATCGGTCCACGAGGGGCTGACGTAGCGGATCTTGCCCTCGAGGTCCAGGTCCATGATGATGTTCAGACTGTGCTCGGCAGCCTCCTTGAGGTCTGCACGTTCATTGCGCATGTCCTGGCTAACGGTCCTCTCCATGCCATGTCGGTGGCCAGGCGAGGAGGTGGCCTCATGCTTGAGTGCCGTGACGGCGGGGGGAGCTAGTGTCGTGGGTTTCTTGTCGTCAGCCATTGGTGCTGTTGGAGGTTACGAATGCCGTGGGTGCGGCTCCGGTTGCTCGGGCCCGGGGTCGGGAGGAAGAGGGGATGGGCGCGCGTGCCCGAGGGCGTATTGGTGATTTGCTATGAACAGAAGGCTCCCAAGACCATGTTGGAGGGCTCTGAGATGGACCGGGAGTGCTTCGGGCTTGGAGTATAGAAGGCGTGGGCCGGCTTTGTGGTGCAGTGCGGTGCTGACTGCAACGAGGACGAGTCTAGAGCAGCTGCATTGCGGAGCCAGACGGAGGATTGAACAGTGCAACGGGGGGGCCGAGTAGCGGTGGCAGCAGGTGATTTGACGGCAGCAGAGGCAGTGGAGGGAGAGGAGGAGGTAGTGGTGATGTAGCAGAGAGCGGCGGGTGGGTATTATTTTTTGGGACGTGCTTGGGGGTGGATTGGCGGATGTGGTGGGTGGGTGGAGAGACAGAGAGGGGCAGAGGGTGGATGTATCAGCCGGCAGCACGAGCGTGTTAGGGTGACAGGAGGAGGAGAAGGCGAGGTAAGTGGATGCAGCAGCAGCGTAGTGCAGCAGCGTGGTCGGGCAAGCGAGGAGTGGGTGAGGGAGCCCGGCGAGGGATGGAACGAGGGCAGGTCGTGGGTGGGCAGCGCTATCCAGCTGGCAAAAGTCGCCAGGCCGCACGCGTCGAGTGAAAGTCACACGGAAAAGCGCCGTGCAGGGCGGAGGCTACCAGCCGGCGGGTGCAGATGATGCTGCTTACCCTTTGGCGCACGGCGCGCCCTCTGCGCCCCCCCCCCCGACGCTGCTCAACGCTGCACCATGCCGGCTACCAAAATAATATAACACAACGGCACGCCAGCGACTGGGCCGAATACTTATGGAAGCATGCATATTTACCATGGAAACATACTGACTTACTACTCACGATACATGTCACATCACAAGGATAGTAATACCGTCGTTGCCAAGCGTGTGCTTACGGCTATTGTTGTTGCTGCTACCACTACCACTACCACTACCACCACCACCACCTTCACCACAGCCACTGCCACTGCCACTGCTACTGCTGCGTCTTGATCCATGCCACCACCACCGACCAGACCGCCTCCCCGCCGCATGCTCCCGGCAACATCTGGCTCAACTGCATGGCTCTCCCTGCGCTGCTGCTGTTGTTTTTGGCGCCGTTGTTGACACTGTTTTTTTTTGTTGGCGCTGGTGCTGGTACTGCTGCTGGTGGTGCTGCCGGTGCTATTGGTGCTGGTGCTGGTGCTGGTGCTGGTGCTGGTGCTGGTGGTGCTATTGTTGGTGCTCCCCATATAAATAAGTATACATATCCCATACTACATAGCACCACAGCCCAGCTTGTCAGCTCACGCCCAGCACACGACCACAAGTGCTTAATGCTAAACACCACGGCAACCTACCAGACGTTGCACCACTGCAGCGCTGGCTATTGCCCGGCCATCAACAATGAGCCCCTCGTCGCAACCTTGCAGCGTCGCCTCGGATACAAAGTATGACCTTGCTGCAACAACACGCACATTTTGGCTATCCGTCCAATCACCGCCCGCCCGCTTGCTCCCTTGCCTCTTCCCCGTCGTGCACCCATGTGGGCCTGGCCCCACTACGTCAGCAAGGCCTTGCCCGCGGTCATCTGGGAATCATATACACACAAGTCTATTTAGTTACTTACCTCCTATCTACGCACATGTACATGTTACCACTGAGCTCATCTGTGCCTGCTCCCTACCATTCTTCTCATCTCGTGTCCCTCCAGTGCCCACTTGCTATGCTCCACCACCACCAAGTGCAATATCGTCTCTCTCGCGAGCATCCCCCAGTATGTGCAGCACATAGACATGTACAATACTCTACAATGCATATGTACACCCGTTGTATCTTTGTGCGTACACACGTACAGTAAGTATGTAATGCTCCCCACCATCACAGCACTAGCGTCGCGCTAGTGGGAATCGCCACCTACTCAACGAACCATGCACGCGGCAAACACTCAATTGGACACGCTCTCCAAGCTACTCTGCATTCAATGCTACACTACACTACACTACACCACCTGCCTGCACCACTGCCCCGGATCTCCCTCTGCTTGCCCAGTCTTTTACTCTACATCTACTTATTCAAAATAAACTGCTTCCGGCTCCAGCACCTTCGTCTCCCCTGACAACTCACTCTTGATTACAACCCGGGGGTCTTCCCTGCTCGCCTCAACCCTCTTGCCCTCAACTTCCTTCTCCTCGTACAACACTTCGACCACTTGGCCCTTATCAATCTCACCGTGCCCATGCCACTGCACCTGTTGACCCCTCTTCGGAACCCGCGTCTTGTCTCCCGCTGCCCCTGTTGGCTCCCCGTCACCTCCCCCTGTATTCTTTGCTTTCTTGTTCGCGCATACCGCGTTCGCTCCCCGCCCACGCTTCTTCCCACCCTCCTCCTCCTGCGAGCTACTACCCTTGGTCCTGCGCTCCTCTTGCTGGAACTTTCGGTATTCCCGCTCATTGCTTTCCATATATTCCGGGTCGTCCCAGTGCGTTGTGCAGTCGCTGACGCTCTTCTTGTGAATCTTGACGTATCCCTTCGCCGAGCTGCACTCTTCGTCTGTGGCTGTCTCATGTTTCTCGTCGACCCTGTAGTCGCCTCCTCGCTTCTTGTGTTCCGATGCCATCATCTGCCCCTACGATTGCATGTCATTAATCAAACGCCCACTTCTTGCGCATATCACCTCGTACCTTTGTAGCCGACCACTGACTTGGCGCGCATTCCTTGCCCCCTCCCTGAACCTCCCCCTTGAGTGGCTCGCGGACCTCTAGATCCCTATACTTGTCATTCGTCTTTGAGGGCATAGTGACTGCGTAACTTCGAATGCTGAGATGTAGTGGTGCTGCTGTGGGCTGACAAACGTGGTAGACCTTTTCTAGCAATTGTTTGCTGCGAGGCAAAATACGACGCATTTCAAACAATCAACCCGACGGACAAACGCAATTATCTATCCAATTCCAAGTCTCCCTCCACTGACGTATTCGTCCCGGCACAAACAAACACCCCTTTCCTTTTTTCTTCACGCCAGCCACCTCATATCAGGTACATCATCAAAAGCCCCCTCACCAACTCGCGACGCGCTCAGATCCCCTCACGACCGTGGTACCACCAGCGTTTCCACCCTTTACAAGCGTACCGCAATGACATCAATGATATTTCAGCGTGATCCGCTTTTGGCTGGCGTAATAGCACGGTCATTGTGCTTCGATCGTACTAACGCCAATCGGTGTAGACCTCACGGTCTAGCCGCTGATCCCACCCGACAATAAAGTTCCCCCTCTGGTCTGCTGCTATGCATTCTGTGCAGATATGCACGCCATGAGTCTGCACTGCAATATCCTAGGCCCATTAGCTCTTTCAGCTGCAGCCCGAGACGTTTACACTCCAGTATGATACTAGTCGTGGAAATTGGTCTGGGCTTCCCTGATGCATGCGAGACTGACAGCGCTCATGGGAAGTGCGTCGCTCTCTTTCCTAGGTCAAGGACCAGGACAGGTCGGATAAGAGATCCATCGAATCATCGAGCCTACAAATCGACGTCTTACCTTCGCATAACATTGCTCCTACGCTAATGGGTTACGAAACAGATAAGCCTATGAGTCTCATGGACTACTAAATCCTACTATTCGAGTCTGACGTCAAATCCCCACTAAGTGATGTTGAAGAGATACTTCTGCTTACAAAGGGGCCGAGTTGAAAGATGAGAGATCGCCAATAATTTATGCAAATGAGGTGCTATTGAATTGTATGGAACGTTATATCTCCAGTCCTGCAGGTAGCTGATTGTAATATTGTTTGTCCAGCTCACAGAAGTAACCGCTGAGTCTGTAGCTATACCATCTAGACAGAGGTCAGCGACCAACATCCCAGCCATTATAACCCTCTATACGTATGGACCACGTGCAAGAAAATTCCGACTCTATCGAGCCTTCAGTACCGTTGAACTTGCGCTGTTACACAGTGCTCTCACCAAAAGGATACTTATCCAGCATACAACAAAAATCTGCAGACCGTACCAACTGTATCCGAACCCCCTCTGGTCCCACGACTGGAACTCATGTTTGCCTTCCAACTTTTTGAAGAGGGGAAACGTAATAAAGGCATGCAGCGGGGCGGCACAGAACAAGACCGCTTCCCTGAAATGTTACTCTGGTCTTGCCTCTACTGTAAAGAAGCGTAGCGAAGGAGAAATACGGAGAATTTCGCCTTCAAAGTGGGATACCACGTCAACCATTTAGAACATTGCTGCCCGGAATGAGGCACGGAGATCTTGGATGAGAGACAATGGGGGCGGCGATAGAGGTTTGAAGAGAGGGCTTAGGTGGATGCAGCAAAGTAATTATGTAGGTGTAGATGATTTTGTATTCGACTTTAGTACCGAAGTTCAATACGCGAGAATACAATGTCTCTTTTTTTTTAGTCCGATTATACTTACACTGCATCTTGTAGGCCGACCGTATTCTCGGCGCCTATGAGTAGCTGGGACTCAGAGCATTCTACATCCACTCAATAGTATTATGGGCCATTACTAAGTAATGATTCTGATTCTACTCCACTCTGTTTACAAGTCAGTGTACACGATAGTACGACTGATAGCGATATGGCGTTCTTCTACCTTAGCGGTAGTCCAGATAAGCACGCTACGATACTTTCATCTCTCCTTAAATCAGAATACAAGGATCGGCTATTATTTGCAATAACTATCGATGGTTCATACTGTTTTCAAGGATTATAGTATCGTAGAAAGAAAGATCAAACAGTCACTTCAGCATGCTAATCTGATTTCTCTCCAGATTTTGAGCGTAGGTGTAGCAATATTTCCAAAACATGTCCAAGTTGGTCACGTGTATGGAGGCGTACGGGAGAGCGGGTAGTGGATACATAGTATGGGAGCAGGAGCATGGGCCATTGGTCGCCAAGATGCGGGGAAAGCTGAGCTCCCCCAACATGGAGCTCATGCAAGGTACCCAAAGCTCTTGTACTCTTCTAGTAGCTCTCAGCTGATACACTAAGCCTTCATCTCTTCTTCAACCCACTCACGAAGCTCCACATTTGACAGCTTCATCTTATCAATCATGGGCGGAGAATCACATCGTATTATACCAGTGACGGTGGCCAACGACTACCCGAAGTTATCCGATGGTCCGGTCGGCAAGCAGATTCACAGCATTTATGAGAGCCGTTTGAGGCAGTTCTTTGATGGCGGCCAGTACCGAGAACAGAGTCTGATAGGGTAAGCCCTCGGAGCTGTAGTGGCCATGGCCACAGCCTACAGGCCTAGGCATCGTATGCTTATACGTCATATAGGAAGCTCACTGAAGCCGTCGCGTCAGGTCCCGAGTGGATCAAGCTATCCGTATACTCGCCTCCGGATCTCTCCCGTCCCCTCTTCGATGAGGCAACATCACACGCGTTCCATCCGACAAAAGTCGGCGAATCCTTTGGCCCCAGTTGGTCGACGCACTGGTTCAAGGTCCAGCTCACCCTTCCCGACTACTTGCTGGACAAGGAACATCTCGAGTTCGTCTGGGACGCCAACAACGAGGGCTTGATCTGGACTGAAGATGGACGCACCGTGCATGGCTTGACGGGCGGAGGTGAGCGTACACAATGGATACTGCCCAAGGCGTTTCGAGACGGCAAGGAGCATACCTTCTACATTGAGATGGCTTGTAACGGCATGTTCGGTAACGCACCTGGCGGCGACTCTATCCAACCACCAAAGCCCGACAGGTACTATACCCTCCACACTGCCGAGGTCCAGGCTGTCAATCTAGATGCCAGAGGACTCTACTTTGACTTCTGGGAAATATCAGATGCTGCCCGTGAGTTCCCTTCAGATTCAACCCAAATCCACGATGCCCAGCAGGTCTGTAATCGCATCATGGATACTTTCATTGCTGGCAATGGAAGTCGAGAAAGCATCAAGGCAGCACGTAAGATTGCTGCCGAGTACGTTGGAAAGGATGTCGATTCACACAAAGTATACCAAGGCGACCAAGAAGCTATTGTCCATGGTATTGGGTACTGCCATATCGATACCTGTTGGTTGTGGCCTTTCGATGAGACCAAGCGCAAAGTCAACCGCTCCTGGTCCAACCAGTGTGATCTCATTGACCGATATCCCGAGTTGCGCTTCTGCTGCTCCCAGGCACAACAGTACAAATGGTTGGAGCAATACTACCCATCCACATTTGATCGTGTCAAGAAGAAAGTCAAGGAGGGTAGCTTCCAGCCGATTGGCGGTAGCTGGGTCGAACACGATACTAACCTGCCTGGTGGAGAATCGCTAATCAGGCAGTTCTTGTATGGCCAGCGTTACTTCGAAAGTAAATTTGGCCAGCGTTGTCGCACTTTTTGGCTGCCAGATACCTTCGGGTACTCCTCACAGCTACCACAAATCTGCCGCATCTCAGGAATGACTCGTTTCCTGACACAAAAGCTCAGCTGGAACAACATCAACAACTTTCCCCACACCACTTTCAACTGGGTTTCACTCGACAACAGCCAAGTCATCTGCCACATGCCACCCTGTGAAACATACACATGCGAAGCCAACTTTGGTGATGTCAAACGCAGCGTTACACAGCACAAGTCCCTCGATCAAGACAAAACCTCGCTGCTCGTTTTCGGAAAGGGAGATGGAGGCGGTGGCCCAACATGGCAGCACTTGGAGAAGCTGAGGCGATGCCGCGGTATAAGCGATACTACCGGACTGTTGCCTCGCATCAAGCTCGGTGACTCTGCTGATGACTTTTTTGACCGCTTGGAAAAGAAGGTGGCCAATGGCGATGAGTTGGTAACATGGTACGGAGAGCTATACTTTGAGCTCCACCGTGGAACATACACCACCCAGGCAAACAACAAACGCAACAACAGAAAGTCTGAGATTATGCTTAGAGATATCGAATACCTTGCGACCTTGGCAACCATCAAGAATGGCTTCGGAAAGAAGAGCTCATACAAGTATCCGAAAAAGGAGATTGATGACATGTGGGAGAATGTTCTATTATGCCAGTTCCACGATTGTCTGCCTGGAAGTTCGATTGAGATGTGCTATGATGATTCTGATCGCGTAAGTCGTTACCTATAACACCTCCACAAGACATTGCTGATTGCTATAGATTTATGCGTCGGTTTTCGCTACCGGAGAGAAACTGCTTTCTGACGCGCTGGCTGAGCTGGGCTTTGGCGACCAGACCACCTGGAGCGAAAACACCAAGCTCATGGCCATCAATACTCTGCCATGGAATCGCTGTGAGGTTATCAAACTTCCTGCAGAGGCACGCCAGTCCGTGTACGGTCAAGAAGAGACCAGATATGGTCTCGCCTACAGCAATGGATCGGACAAGGGCTTTGGAGCCTTGGAAATTGCTCCCATGGCTTCCCGTATCCCTACATCTAAGGCATTCATTGAAGAGATTCGCCCCAACGTCTATCAGATGCGTAACTCCCAGTTCGAGGTAGAGGTCACAGATGGCGCTATTACCTCACTCTTCGATATTCAAGCTAAGCGTGAGCTCATTCCAAAGGGTGCTAAAGCCGGCCAGCTTGTCATCTTTGACGACAAGCCACTCTACTGGCAGGCTTGGGATGTGGAAGTCTATCATTTGAAGTCACGCCAGGAGCTTAAACCCAGCAAAGTCACCATCACAGAGAATAGCATGCACCGTGTGAGCCTGGAAGTCGAAACCAAGATCTCAGAGAAGTCGTGGATCAAAACAACAATGTCCCTGCCGGCTGCAGGTGCCACTCCATCAGCCATTGAATTCGACGCAGAAATCGAATGGCACGAGACAATGAAGTTCCTCAAGGTGGAATTCCCCGTTGACATTGTCAACACCGAAGCCAGCTACGAGACACAATTCGGCATCGTGCGCAGACCCACGCACTACAACACCTCCTGGGACATGGCCAAATTCGAAGTCTGCTGCCACAAATGGGCCGATCTCTCCGAAGCCACCTACGGCGTCTCCATCCTCAATGACAACAAGTACGGTTTCGCAACCACAGGCAACGTAATGCGTCTCTCTCTGCTCCGCGCCCCCAAAGCGCCCGACGCCCACGCAGACATGGGCAACCACAAAACGCGCTACGCCATCTTCCCACACGAAGGCCCACTGGACCACCGCACTATTCGCAAAGCTTTTGAATTCAACAATCCCCTCAAGATCGTGGGTAGTAGTACCCAGGACAAGCACGATACCAGTCTCCTCAACCCGTTCCACATTTACAACGCTCCAAACCTTGTTCTCGACACTATCAAGCGCGGTGAAGACGACGAGGACGTGTCGAGGGGTGAATTGCCGGTCAAGAAGGGTCACAGCGTCATTCTACGCATTTACGATGCGCTTGGTGGAAAGAGCAAGGGTGTTTTGACGTGGGGTAATTTGAATGTGACAAAGGTGACAAAGGTGAATGCGCTGGAGGATGAGGAGGAGAATGCGGAGGCGCTGAGGATTTGTTCGCTAAGGACTGGGGATGCAGAGGTTATGGAGACAGGTGTCGAGATTGAAATTAGGACGTTTGAGGTGGCGAGTTATAAGTTGGTGCTTGGGTGAGAGAGAGAGAGGATTGGAAAGGGGAAGGGAAATGGAGTTTTGGATGCGGACGTTTTTAGTTTATGACGCTTGAGATTGATGACTAGTAAATGCCCGAATGAAATGTTTTTGCACGAATGTTAGTTTGCACACTGGGGAAAAAAATGATGGCAGGACCAAACACCAAGATGCAATTGATATCTACCATTCCTCTGTCTTTTTTTTTCTGTTCCAAAGTAGGAAAAAGAGAAGAATCGTTTCCACTATCTAACATATGCAATCCAAGATATGGATTTTTCGAAGATAATCGACAAGGCTTGAAACAAGAAATTTAATGGATACGATCCAGCTTGAGCCTGTTCCTTGCAATCTTGTCATCGACATTGTCCGTCTTGCCTGTAATGCGAGTAATGTGCTCATTCTGCTTGTCGGCCTCGGTACCCATTGCGCGACCCAGCTGGTTCAAGCTCTTGGCTGCAGTGTGTAGTTGATCTGTTTACATTTCACATTAGCACTTTTGTTCCCATCATACGCATATTTGTGTGCATGGAACAGCAGAAAACCACGTACCCAAGTTGTTTTCAATCTCATTCTCCATTTCGTCGTCTTCAGAGTCGGGCTCCATCTGGTACTTTGATCGCTGGGCAAGCGAGGCCTTGTTGCCTCCTATTCCAGCACCACCACCTTGGATTCCGCGCTGTACTTGGTTTGCACGTGCAGCTGATTCCCAGGCAGCCTTGTTTGTTGCCTCGCGCGTCTCGCGGTCGCGGGTGTGCTGGTCCATGGCTCGTTGCATTTCCTTCTCGCGTTTCGAGTTACCAGTGAAGGGGTTGGGTACGACGGAGAACATGCTTGCGTTGATTCCTAGAATAAATCAGTATTGATGTTAAAAGGGTTCAACCTAGATAAAGCACGTACGGGCCAGCTCCTTAGTCTGTCCTGAGGCCCTGTCACTTTGGATAGAGGCAAGATCGAGATTGCGTTCGGTGCTACGACGATGTTAGGTGTTATACAAGAATATGATTGGTATTGCAGTACTTATGGATGCGCTCTCCTTGTGCTGCCATGGTGGACAGAGTTCCTCGACCAGTCTCCAAAGCCTGTTCAGCCAGACGCAGAGCGTTTCTTGTGCTAGAAACATCCTGCTGCTTGATAAACTTGATCTCTTGTTTCGTGGCATTAATATCTTCCTATAGTATTCAAGGCACAAGGTCAGCGCGCATATTACGAGTGAGTGGTTCTGGGGAACTGACCTCTTCCTGTTCTTCAGCCGTCAATTGGCGGTCCTCGTAGGTGCCGTAGCCGCCAGGGGTAGAGCCATAGCCCCCAGCAGCAGCACCACCACCACCGTATCCGCCGCTCTGGCTGTCTCCATAGGCACCGCTCTGTCCATAACCGCCTGATTCTTGCTGTGGGCGTCCTTGTTGTCGTTGGGGGGCATTGCCGAAAAGCTCGTTACGACCGGCGTCTGTGGCCATGGTGTCGTTTGAGGCAGTTCTTCCGAGTCCGCCGTAACCACCAGGGCGCTGGGGTGGACCGCCTCCGTATTGGTCGTTTCCGTATCCTGACTGAGCGCCGTAGCTACCTCCTTGAGCACCATAGCCACCAGGTCGTTGTCCATAGGCCTGGCCTGGTCCGGTTACTGCTGGCGTCTTCTCTTGTCGGAAAGAGCTATCCTGGCCGCCAGAGTATGAGGGGGGCGGCTGGGCATAGGGGTCGTTTGCTGGAGGGGCGGCATAGGGGTTTTGAGCTGCAGGGCTCTCTTTTCCCTTGCGGCTGCCGAAAAGGGCGGAGCGGTTGCTGTCTTCAGCCTCAGCACCCTTGTCCTTTTTCTTGCCAAACAAGCCCATGATGATGTATCAGAATGCAGAGACGTTTAGTTTAAAGACAAGAGTACTGGCTGAAAGTGTGAGGACAGTATTTGTGCGTACGAGGTGGAGTTGGATCGAGGACGGGTGTTGGGTCGCTGTAGGGGTGAATGGATCGGGAAAGGCAGCTAGTTAATTGTGGGGGTGCGTCTTATCGATTGCGCCAACAACAGATGTCGCGCTTTTAGGTGACGACGGGATAGCGAGGCGTTGCAATTGAGAAAAAGAGGCGGCGTTGATTGTATGCATGTATATATACACAAGCCGCACGGGAGATGAGGGGTGTTTGAGCGACGGTAGGCCGGGGCGTCTGGTGTTTCAATCCATTCAAGCGCCCAGACGCTGACGTTACCTAGAAGGCGGAGTTCAGGTACGCCGCCACTCTAGTTGTGGCAGTGTACACGGACATTCGCGGGCCACGCCGATCATACGATGGCGATGCTTGCTCCTTGGTAAACACTTGAGAACATTCTGCCTTTTGAATTGCCAACCCAGACGAACACCACTAGGAGCCTCGCGGTTTATGCTTGGAAAGGGTTGGGCTGCTTGGGCCCATAACTTTCTGGTCCCTGCATATTGCTACGGCCACCCTGGTCGTGCCACTCACGCAAGGCCCCAGCGGACTTGCACATTCAGACTGAAAACAAAGCAGACATGTGCTCAAAAATAGAACAAGAGAAAAGCTAATGGCGGATCAGTAGTACATGTTATCTCCTTCATCGGGGTATCTAAATGCTGCTTCTTGTCGGAACCATCTTCTACACATAACACGGCCTTTGTTTCGTCGCCCGTCATCGCCTAACGCCCAATGCCCAACCAGAACGTCTGCTAAACTGTCCATACTGCACTATCTTCTTCGTGCATTCCCTCACCGTCGGACGATGGTAAATCTTCGTGCTCCTCCTTTGTCCTGATTTCATTTCCTGTTACCACGGGAAAAGACGTCAGAACCCGGCTGATATCGCCCCACCACATTTCGCCAAATCTACGATACCAATCCACAGTAATCCGGAGGCCTTCGTCGAAGTTCGTCTTGGGTTGCCATCCCAGCGCAGCAAGTTTCGAACCATCCGTTGCGTACCGCTGGTCGTTGAAGGGGCGATCCTCAGTATACTGAATCCATTGTGTTATTTCGCTTTTCGTATCTCGTGGGATGCCGAAATTATCAAGGAGACGATAGCAGATCTCCGTATTCGATATCTCGTCTTTAGAAGCAATGTTGTAAATTTGCCCAATGTCACCCTTGTGCAAAATGGTATCCAGAGCATCCACAATATCTCCTGCATAGAGATAACGCCGCGTTGGTGAGCCGTCACCGTGGAGGAGGAGCTTTCGCTTTCGCTGTAGGAGCATGATGAATTTGGGTATAATCTCTGCATTGCTATCAGACCTGTGCGCCACTTTCGGAGTGGAAACGTCACCTACTCTCGGGAAATTGATGTGGCCCGTATACGTTATTCGCCCGGACCGTAATTAGGGGTAGCTTGAAGCTGCTCCGGTATGCGCTGACCATCATCTCTGCCGCCGCTTTGCTGGCCGAATATGGATTTGTGGGTGCCAATATGCTCGTTTCGCCCAGATCCGCTGCGCCAACAGGCACATCACCATATACTTCGTCTGTTGAGATGTGTATGAATTTATTGACACCATGTTCCCTCGCTCTCTCAAGCAATACATGTGTTCCATAAACATTTGTGTGTGTGAACTCGTACGAGTTACCAAAGCTGAGGTCAACATGCGATTGCGCCGCAAAATGGACAATGGTGTCGATTTTGTGCCTACGGAGCACACGCTTCACAGCAGCGGGCGAGGTGATGTCGCCCTGCTCGAATGTGAAGTTCGGTCGGCCATCGAGAATGCGCGTGTTGTTGAGCGTTGCGCAGTAATCCAACCTGTCCAAGGAAACCACATTATAGTGGGGGTATGTAAGGACTATATGGCGTACGAACCAGCAGGCTCTGTGTCCACATCAGTCTTGCGCTCACGACAGGTTCGAAAAGACGCACACGTCGCGCTTCCAGTGGTTTCGATGCGACGTACATGAAGCCCGCGCCACCAGTAATCAATATGTTCTTCGCGTCTGCAAGTGGCTCAAAGTTGGTGCTACCCGTAAATACTGGAGCTTGTGTCCAAAGCTTCTCTTTGACATAACTCCTTGGATTAAGCACAGTCGAACTCCGGCGGCCTATCGTCAGTGGCAATGTCAGTGCTTGGCCTGGACTGTGTGTCTTGCATTGCATTGCATAGCGCAGGTGGATACTTACGCTTCGTGCCATGGGTGCCGTTTGGCACGTCGCATACTTCGCTAGATATCTCCAAGGCACTCATACTGGCAACAACTGTTGATGCAGTCGTGCAGGAAGGATACGAGGTTTATGCGGCATGCTTGCGCGACGTCTGAACCCGAAATTGTTATTGCGCAAGCGCGCCAGGCCATCCACGTCGCATCAACCAACGATCGACGCTAGCTTGAAGCAGATGCGTAGCCGGAAGGATGCCTCACGTCATCGAGTCAGGTACTATGTAGAGTGAAGGTAACGCCTAGTTGTTTTTGGCTCTTTGGTATGTTGTTTCGATATAGCTCGAATAGACGTAAAACAGTGACTGAACCTCGCCAGACTATAATACCGTTCAAATGTCAATGATGAAGGGACGTCCCAAGCGAGCCATCGGTTAATAATAGGAACGTATACAACTGATAGTGAGTTAACAAACTGTTGTTCTACCAGTGGCTCACGGAGAAGAAATCACTGTTGACTTCACAGACACGTGACCAGCGCAAGATGCACTTGGCACTCTGATCTTGAAGTCAGGGGTGAAGTGATTTGGTCACGTGCTGGGCGTCTCCAACTCCGCCTACTTCTGCATGGAAGTAGGCAAACACCCCCTCGTCAAAAAAGTGTTGCAGTACTTAACGTATGCTCGGTATAACCCTGAATACTGCCCGCGCTGAGCACTGCCACGTTTTATTGATGAGGGGTGCAAATAAGCTTGTGGGACTCAATGCTGCCCCACAAAAGTACCAAGCGGAGGTGAGGAGTGTTCGAGCCCCATATCTACACCCCCACATTATATATATTGTGCCGTATATGCACTTCGGCTTACTCCCACGGGGCAAACACATACCTCAACTCTCATTATGGATTCTGCTAAACAAAGAAACTGGTTCTTTCTTGAGCCTTCAGGCCTGTGGGCCACCCTCATACTTGTATCTGGAATTACGGCCTTGATTGTTGACTACAGCCGCATGCTCTATTTGAGAAAGAAGATGGTAAAACATTTTGCTGTCAACCTCATAAATGGACGTGCTCAAAACTAACAAAACAATAGCCACCTGGCCCATTACCTTGGCCAATAGTTGGAAACACTCTCAGTCTCCCGAAAGAGAAGCCTTGGTACATGGTTGAGCAGCTCTCAAAAGACTACAAGTCTCCAGTGATTACATTCTGGATCGAGCGGTTAGTCTTTACTACGAATTTTCGGGAAAACACCGCTAATCAATTGTAGACGACCAACAATCTGGATTAATGATGCATGGGCAGCAGATGAGATCCTTGTCAAACGCTCCAACATTTACAACTCTAGGCCACATATGCTCATGTTTGGTGAGCTGATGAATGGACAAGACAATCTCATACACAAATACACATACACCAATGAGCAGCGAGAGAGATTCCGTGTCCTGCGCAAAATCACACATCATGGCGTTGGGATACAACAAGTGCGTCGTTCACATCGTGACTTGGCCTAGGCTGACTATCAAAGGTTCAACAATACCGAGAATTTCAAGATGACGAGAACAAGGTGGTGGTATACGATCTCCTAAAAACACCCGAGCTATTCGCTTCACATTTCGAACGCTATGCAGCGAGCGTTGTCTCTATTGTTGGATTCGGACGTCGTATCTCTAACAGTCAAGATGCGTTGATTACGGAAGTCATCGCCCAGATGCAACATGCCGCACACCTCGCTGTTGTGGCAAGAGATTGGCCACGGATCATCGAGACATTTCCTTGTGAGTATTTCTGTCTTTTTTGGAACAAGAAAAAAAGTTAATTGTATTTCAGGGCTGGTAAAGCTTCCACGTAGTATCGCACCCTGGTTACGCAAGGTTAAACAGTCAAGCAAAACAAAGTACGGTCGTGAGAACTTCTTCTACACCCTAGCCGAAGAAGCCCAGGATACACCGGACGAAAACTATGCAAAATTCCTTTTTCGCGAAGCACCACAACACAAGCTTAGCCGCGGCGAAATCTCCAGTCTTGTCTCCAATCTTTTTGGCGCAGGCGCAGATACCTCCAGTAGCACTCTCATCACAGCTATAATGGCTATGCGTGCCTTCCCTGAGACCTTGAAGCCTGCCTGGAGCGAACTTGATCGCGTGGTAGGCCAGTCAAGAAGCCCTACTCTTGAAGACGAATTACCTCATGTTCGAGCCTTTGTTAAAGAAGTTTTTCGATGGCGCTCAGTAGCCATTGTCGGAGGAAAACCTCACGCGCCGACCCAGGATGATTACTGGAACGGCTACTACATACCCAAGGGAACTTGGATACAAGGAAACGTATGGACTATTCATCACAACGAGCGCGAATTTCCGGATCCTGACCGTTTTAATCCGAGAAGGTTCCTCGACACGGAAGATCGGAGACCGTTTCCGGGAGAGAAGGGATACATGACGTTTGGATGGGGGAGGAGGAGTTGTGCTGGTCAGGCCCTTGCCGAGCAGGGCACGCATCTCAGTGTTGCGCGCTTGCTTTGGGCTTATCGCGTTGAGCCTGCTATCGATGAGAAGACGGGAAAGGAGATACCGGTTGATTTTTTCAATTACACGTAAGAGTTTCACGACCATATGATTGGATGTGGAGAGAATACTAATAAAAGGCAGCAACGGATCAAACTGGCGTCCCCAGCCTTTCAAGGTTAAATTTACTCCTAGAAGCGAGGTGATTAAGAAGACTATTGTTCGTGAAGGCGAGGAAGCGCTGATGCGTCTATCGAAGTATGAGAGGCAGGCAAAGTGTATGCTTGACTCTAGCAAGTAAACCCGGAATTTTGTATCCGTCGACAAAGCTCACTTCTCTAGAGCGGCGTGCGCAGTATCTGCTATCAGGATAGCAGTGTGATCTTATTCGGAACTCTGATGTCAATATCTACTTAACAAGTAATTTGATGTCATGCAATCTCATTGTTTATTAGAGTATCCGATGAACAAATCAAGTCTAGAAAAAAAATCTTCAAATTATCCGATCGATTAACAGTTTACAAAACACACAATCTATCAAGGAAACACCCCAACTTCAAAACAAAGGAAAACAAACAAAAAAATTCAAACAAAAACTACCCAACCATCTAACACACAAAAAGAAGAGAAAGAAAAAAAGAAACAATTTGAGAATAACCTTATCCATATATCTCTCACCCATAATACTTCTCCAACCACTCCCTCAAATCCCCAATCGTCGGATAATCCAAAAACAAACTCCCATTCACCTTGACACTCAGCTCATTCTGGAACTTCTCGGACAACACCAGCGACATGAGACTATCAATACCCAAGTTGGCGAACTCTGCATCGTCTGTCAGCTCGGCAGCGTCGATACCCGTTTCCTTGGCAATGAGATCGATGGCTTTGTCAACGGTGCTGTTAGCAGCGCGGGGCGCAGAAACAGGCACGTCGACGCTGGTGGCGGATGTGTTGACGGAGGCTTCGGAGGGGGTGTCGCGGTCGGAATTGTCGCTGGCGGAGGACTGGGTGTCGTCTTCTTTAAGAGCGATGGGTACGACCGGTACTGTTTGGACTGCTTGCACTTTGGGTGGTGCGGCAGGCTTGCTGGGTGCGGGTGCTGCAGCGGATTTGGCGGGTTGAGCGGCACCCTTGGTGGGCTGGGGCGCGGTGAAGAAGCGGTTGAGGAGGACGCGTGGGAAGCGGCGGAAGTGGATGCCGCCGACCATGCCGACGATGGAGTTGTCTGCTGCGCTGAGGATGAAGACGTCACCGAGGTAGACGGAGGGGTCATCCTTGGTTGGGATCATTTTGACGTAGGAGCGGTATCGAGCGCCGGGGGTAAGGGGCTCGGCGAAGCGCATGGTTTTCCAGCCCGAGGTGACGCAGTAGTTGTTTGTGGTGTCGATGGTGTCGGAGCAGTTCATGATGAAGCCGGCGAGATGGGCGACGCTGTCGATGAAGTAGGGGGGTACGGTGTAGGTTCCGTTGTCGACTTTATCGCTGAGCTTCACTTCGGCGAAGGCTTCGAGATCATTCATGACAACAGACTGCATGCCACGGTACTTGTCGGCATAGTCGACGAGGTTCTTTGCGAAAAGGGTATAGGCCATGTTGCGTGAGAAGCGGTTGGCCTTGCCCTCGGCAGCGAGCTGCTCCAAGGACTCGATACGGTGTTGGACTAGATGCGCCATGGGACTCCAGCTCGATAGCCAGTCGTCTGCTTTGCCATACTCGAGATTGGCGGTTGCGAATGGCTCCGAAAGGCTTCCGTCTTCTTCGACGTTTTGCCATGTCAGGTCGAGAACACCACTCTTGATGTCGATGGTGCTGGCAGTAACCTGGATGGACTGAGGAGTGTCCATGGAGTGCTTCTTGGCGATCAGGGCACTGGTTACGTGCAAGTTGCTCATATTCATATCCACTTGCTTTGTCTTTGGGTAGAACTTGCGGTAGAGGTACTCTCCCAAAGTGTATGCGATGTCGGCATGAATAGACTATAAGATTGTTAGCAATGCTGCACAGGAAAAGGTGGGACTTCGACTTACTGATGTAACAACACCACAGTTGTTCATAGAGTGTCCATGTGCAGCAGCCAAAAAGTCCTTCTGCATCAAGTCCGACTGCATGACCACAGTGCCCTGGTCTCCATTTACATCGACTGAAATGATGTTCTGTACCAAAGAGCTCAAGGACTCGTATTTCTTGGTATTGCCAACTGCAGGCTCTGCCGCCTCGACCTTCTTGTCGTAGAAGGTATTGCCCTTGGTCAAGCACCAATCGCCATTGTACTGGATCCAGTAGTTCTTCTCATCCCAAGCATATGTCGGAAGATCGAGAAGACGCACTGCATCCGCAAAAGGACGGTGGAGCTCATTCCAGTCCACATCAACGCCATCAAGATGAATAGCTGCTGCGCTCTCGGAGATGGTCTTCCAGTTGTTATCTCCACGACGAATGGACGGGACAGCGGTCTTTGTCGATGGGAAAATGGACTTGATGAATCCGACACAGACAGGATGAGGACCCATCTCCATGAAAACAGTCTCTTCATTGATGATTGACACATCGCAAGCGTTCTTCGCAGCAGACAGGAAGTCAACCGTTGCTCGTGTAGCGTTTCGCACATAGCTAGCGTTAAGCGACCGCCCGTCAAAGACGACCTTGCCGAGAAGAGGTGAGACAACAGGAAGCTTGGGCTCGTGGAAAATGACACCACTCTTGCTAATCGCCTCGAACTCATCGAGGATCGGGTCGACCTGTTCGGAGTGGAATGCAAACGCCACATTGAGCTTGATGCAACGGAATCCGGCTGCTTCGAGATCTATAGCAATGTCGTCCATCTGTGCCTTAGTACCGCTTAGAACCGTGTCGGTGGGACCATTGATACAGGCTACAGTGTGTGGCTTGCCATTCGATGCGCTGATGATAGACTCGAGAGACGCGCGTACAGCCATCATGCAGTGGCTGCCCGGCGTGCATGACTTCTGGAGCATCAATGCCCGAGAGCCAACCATGTAGATGGCATCGTTCGCACTGATGACTCCAGCAACATGCATAGCTGCATACTCGCCGAGGGAGTGTCCCATGACAACATCAGGCTTAACGCCCAAAGAAGCCCAGTAGTGAGCTAGCGCAATCTCGAGACAAACCAGCGCCAGTTGGGTGATGACAGGAGGGTGCTCGTGGTCGCGTGGGTGGGAGCCATCCAAGGCTGGGATGAAGGAAGGGAAGCCTTGGGCTTGAGCAAGTCTATCGAGATATTGAATGTGCTCTCGGAAGACTGGTGCTTCGTGGTACAGTTCGAGATCCATGGATTGATACGAGGCGCCCTGGCCAGTGAAAACAAATGCCACTGACGGCGGGTTGGTCTTGTTCAAGGGCTTTAAGGAATCGACCTTATTGATCTGTGTTGACAGTTGCTTCTTCACCGAGGCAAGATCGGTAGCACTAACTGCAACCCTGTACGAGTGGTGGTACTTGCGTGCAGTCGTGGTGTAGGCGAGATCCGAAATGGAAACATCTGGATTTCTGTCGAGATATACAAGGAGGCGGTTGATGTTGTTGCGCAAGGAGGTCTTGGTCTTCGCGGACACGGCGATGACATGTGTTGGCCTGGTTTCCTTCTCACGTGCCACCGCGACTGGGGGCGCTTCCTCTAAAAGCATCATAGTGTTGCCGCCGGCAGCTCCGAAGTTGTTTACAGCCGCAATACGCTTCTTCTTGCCATCGCTCTTCCATTCGGTCATTGAGAACGGGATTGCGACGTTTCGCTGATCTAGATCCTTTGGCAGGCGTGGGTTGACCTCGGTTTTGATACCAATGTGTGGAGGAATGGCATTCTTCTGCAGCATCAATAACACCTTGATAAGTGCTGTTGTTCCAGCCACTGATTCCCCGTGGCCGACATTCGACTTGGCGCTTCCAATGTGTAGCTTCTGATCGGACCTGCGGTTGGGGAAGGTGTTTGGAGCATACACGTCTAGGACACCCTTCATCTCTTCGAAATCACCAGCTTGAGTGCCGGTACCATGAAGCTCCACATATGAAACATCCAGTGGATCAATACCTGCCTGCCTGATGATCTGGCGTGACAAATATGATTGATGTCCTGCATGCGGATGGGTGATGGAGACAGCCTCTGCTGAGTGGTTGGTGCCTGCAGCAAGGATGACACCAAGAATGTTATCCTTATCAGCCTGTGCATCTTCGAGTCTCTTGATGACAACCGATCCCACGCCATCGGCGCGGCAGTAGCCATCGGCACTGGCGTCCCAAGTCTTGCAGGCATTCTGGCCCTTAGTTAGGAAATGGCCCTTGCAGAGACCAGTGAAACCATCAGGGTTTGTAAGGATGTTGACTCCACCTGCTACAGCAGTGTCAACCTCACCACTCCAAAGAGCTTGACAAGCGACCTAAAGAATCGTCAGTACGATTTTGCCCACAACTCAAGAAATCATCAACTTACTTCGATAGCCGCGAGACCCGAGGAGCAGGCGGTATCAATGCTGTAACTGGGACCGGCGAACTTGAAGAAGTAGTTGATGCGACCAGGTCCAAAAGCACGGCATCCTCCCGGAATGTAATAGGTTCCGACTTCCTGTCCTTGGTTTACCTCGCGATAATCGTCAGCTGCTTGGCCATAATATGTTCCGATGCGCTGGAGCTTGGTTGACTGAGTCCTGTTGGCGACGTAGCCTGCCCGTTCTAATGCTTCGTACGCAGTGACAAGCGAGAGTCGCATCTGGGGATCAACAACCATTGCCTCTCGCGGCGACATGTTGAAGAAACTCGGGTCGAACATGCCAGGCTCGTCGATGAAGCATCCGTATTGCGTCATAGTCTTGTTGAGATCCTTGCCTTCAGGGTCATAGTGCGTGTTGATGTCGAATCGGTCTGCAGGTATCTGGCGAGAGACATCGAGCCCTGCTTCGAGCACTTCCCAAAATTTCTCGGTGTCCGTTGATCCGCCTGGAAGCCTGCAAGACATTCCCACGATGGCGAGTTTGGATTGCGCTGGACCTCGAGGGGTTGTACTCTCAGTGGCACCCTTGAGAAGCGCCGACATGTAGTTATTCAAGGAAATAGAAGTATCCTTGGAAGCCTTTTGCAACTCAGAACGCAGATCATTCAATGGAATGGAGTTCCCAAAGCAAGAGAGCCTGATTTGAGTTCGGTTGTTCTGCTTGGCATAGTCAACCTCCTGTGCAATGACTTTGTCCCACTCAATAGGTCTTGTCAAGAGCTCTCCTACAACGCTCTTGATCAGTTCTGCGGGGCTGGATGATGTGTAGGGAGTACCGGAGCTTGTCGAGAAAAGTGGGAATCTTGGTTCGTTTTGCGAAACAAGTCGATCCGATGAAGCAACAACGTCTTGAACAATAGCCTCTATGTCGTGAGAGTCGTAGATGTGGGGAGCATGACAAAGGCCTCCGTAAACGGGCAGTGCAATGGACTTAGCGTCTCTGAATGCTGTGGCCTTCTTGAAGAGATTTTCAAGTTTTGAAGGCGGGCCACTGATTGTGACAGATGTTCGGCTGATGGCGCTGATGAAAATACGACTGGTATCCGAACTGGGCACTGCTTCATGGTATGCTTCAAGCTCTTTCTTCGTCTCCTGGGGATCAACGTTGTGGACTACATAAGCCCATGTCTTTGGGGGTTCAGTTGGGTCTCGAGCTTCTAGATAATGTGAGACACCCTGTACATGTACCCCCATGCGGAAGGCAATTGTGATCGCTTGTACACCGTAGAAAGCTACTTCAGAAATGTCTCGAGCTAGAGCAACCGCAGTAGCGGAAAGCAAACCGACGCCCAAGCCCGTGAGGTGCTTTTCATCGTGCGAGAATGTTGACTCATTGCTATTTTCAGCATTACTGCCAGAGTTAGTAAGAGAGTAGGGGTTTTTTTTTGAAAGAACTCACAATATGTAAACCGCGAGTTGAACGAGTATCAGCAGAACTCCATCGACCGCGCCACATAGTTCACCCTCGCGGAGCTCCTTCTTCTCTACCCAAGAGATGAGGGTTTCGAATGTAGGGATCTCGTTTTTCAAAATCGACGGTAGCCTTTCAATCTCATTCTTGACTGCTCTTGTTGCGTCTCTGAGGAAGCGGGCTAGAATTTCGTGCTCGGTGGTCTTGCTTTGGTTGTGCAAGTGTCTGAAGATCTCCGAGAGATCATCTTTAGGGAACTCGTTACTGAAATATACAACCTCCATGATGACGCAGACTCCTAAAAAGAGTCTCTAGAAGCTAACAATAGTCTATTCCAAAGCCATGAAAGCACAAAAGATTAGGAAATGATGGTGGATGTGAAGTGAGAAATTCTACGCATGCTACCTGGAGATATAGGTATTCGATCCATTTTGTTGCGGGAACGCCAACCAACCTCGGTCCATATCCGATTCTGATATCCGTATACACGCACGACCAGTGGGCTACACCATACTACCGGGCGACTCCACCGATGTCCAGTTAAGCTTGCTTAGTCAGAACGGACCCCGAGCACAACTACACGTGACATAGAAGATCATCGCTCGGAAGAACTACCCAGAGATCTCCGATGATGAATTCGGAAAGTGTCGACCACGTTGTCGGGTTCTGTACCACGGAACATTCGGAATGATCCGAATTAGGATACGTGCCGCATTCCACCGAGTGAGCCTCTAGCGATCTTAGGCCACCGTCATCAACCCGAGTTCCACACTAGTGTATTCCACAGAAAGTCGAGCCGATACAGGCGATGCGAGATATGATAGCAATGTTTTGGAATACTCGTTCCCGACTCCCGCGATCTATGATTCCTACCTGCTTTCAATGCGCATCGAAGACTGGTGGTGTGTAACGCGAACCAATGAGAACTAAGTCGGTTTAATGTATTGAAAATAGTATAAAGCTTGCATTATGATAATAAATATTCCCTCAACTTTAAAGGCTATCGTAAGAAGAGATAACTATCTGTACTTCAGAGCGGGGCGCATACATATTCTCACGCAGATAACCGTCTCCCCAAACATCTTGATATTCCAATTTTCTTGGGCTCATTTCGAACATCAAATATTCCCCATCATCTCGACCAGTTCAGCCATGACGGACGATAAAGGGGGCTACAAGCAGATCAACAAGTCGCTCAATATCTGCGCTTTCGAGGACTATTTGAAAGGCCAGACCGCGAATCTCAACCCTATACCTGATGTGGAGCAAGTGACGGAAAGGGTTTTACGAGTGCGGGGGCAAAATCCGGGGAAATTCACCTTCCAAGGCACCAATACCTTCTTGGTGGGCACAGGAGCCTCTCGCATATTGATTGATACATCAGGAGGAGAGCCTGAGTATGCGAAACTGCTTGCATCAACCCTTGAGTCTCGGAACATTAGCATCAAGTATGTTCTCGTAACACATTGGCATGGAGACCATTCCGGGGGCGTACCGGACCTTATCAGAATGTACCCGCACTTGAAAGATCACATCTACAAGAATGATCCCGATCCGGGCCAACAAGATATCCGCGAAGGGCAAGAGTTTTGTGTCGAGGGGGCTACTGTTGTAGCACTGCACTGCCCGGGTCATTCAGAAGATCACATGTGTTTCATGCTCAGGGAAGAAAACTCCATGTTCACTGGAGACAACATTCTCGGTACTGGGACGAGCGCGGTCGAAGACTTGGGTATTTTCATGTCCAGTCTGCACAAGATGATGGATCAGAAATGTCGAGCTGGCCACCCCGCCCACGGCGTTACTATCGATGATCTGAACACAAAGATCAGCCGAGAACTGTCTTCGAAATACAGGAGAGAAAAGCAAGTCATTAGGGCATTGCGCAACCTCCGCGATTATGGACAAAGCCGACCGGTCGTTCGCGACATTGTCGAAAACATATACGGAAACTCGGTGGACGAAACAACGCGCACGTTGGCGTTGGAGCCGTTCATTGACGAAGTTCTTCGAAAACTTGCCGGCGATGGTAAAGTAGGTTTCCAGGTTCGCGCTGGTCAGAAAAAATGGTTTCTGATTGGTAATGAGCAATCAACGTCGGGTGGGATGCAGCAGGCCCAGTGCCCTGTCACACGCGCCAGCGCTTAACGTTAGGTCTTTGATTAGATCCTAGATGAGCATGTTCTTGATACCAAGCTTTTTTTAGATGTACTTAGATAGGGTGTACCATATTAAGTCGTTTCTTCTCATATAGCTTATGGGAATTCGTGATGATGATTCCCTGAACTGCAGCAACTATATCAAATCTTACGCAGCTCTCATTCAGATACTATCCAAGGAGTCCGATGGCAAGTTTTTATACTTGGTTTCATCTCATGTAAGGATAAGCAAGTCTCTCTAAAAATTCTCATATGCCCATGTACTTCCTAAAAAAAAGAGAGGAGAAACCAGAGTTCATAGCTTAAAAAAAAGAAACACAGCAGCTAAAGAATGTAAGGACTCATCTCTACTAATCCAAAAGATGCGTCGATGCGAGGACGTTGAACGTTGAAAGTTTAGATTCTTAACAAATTAGTTCATTCATTCAAAAAAATACTAATCAACACTCTAGTACATATGCACAGCTCTGACGATCTACATACTCCTTTGGATCAAACAATCACCGAAACCAAGAAAACAGCACACAGACTCTCTAACGAAACGAAGCGACAGCACTGAGCACAGCACCAGTAGCCACAAGAGCTGCTCGAATAAAGTTCATTCCCTTCCACCTCTTCAACATGACTCGAACTTCCTCATCGCTCACCCCAAGGTCCTTCGCTTTAGTTCCCTGCTCGACCATTCCACCTAGTGTCAACAATCTCTTATTAACCTGGGGTTCCATATACAGCAATGTATATGGGACAATCAGAGGTACAAAGAACGCTGCTGCCGCGTACAAGGCAAATGGCGATGCAAAATTGCCGATCAGATCAGTGTCGTTTCTAGAGCGATAGGCAGAGTAGCCATTGCATAGAGTGACGGTAATGGCGATTAGAGGCGATGTCGCTTTTCCAATGTTGTACATGGTTTTGAACTGATGCACAAGCGTGTCGACTGGAGCTACGCTGAGCGTTGGCACTCCGGCATGACTGAAGCACACGATGAAGCCTAGGAAACGCCCGCATTAGTTTTGCCCTATTAGGTTTCCTCTTTTGCTCGTTTTCCGGCATGGTTTAAATCACAGTATAAGATGGATTTGCGTAGTGAATCCACCTTACTCGCGATGTGCATACTCACCTGACAAAAGTGCTGCGCCTGTTACACCCCAGGCATGCGCGACTTGAACGAGAGTGTTCTCCATTCTTCGGACGAATTGGTTCTGAATCAGAGATGCTTTGTGACTATCGGTAATACTAGTAGCTGCGTCGGTTAACACTAGATGCGATGCAACTATCCAACTCAAGCCATCGTTGCCACGCCTCTTATCTGCATCAGATGCAGAACGTTTGCGGAGCCTTTTCCATCGTACCGCGCTGATTTGCGGCTCAAAGGGTGTGCATGCAACCCGAGTTTTGATGTTCGGTAGACTTTGTCGCGGTTTTTCGGAGGAAATCTCACTCGCGGATGGACTTCGGGACAATGTGGATCAACGCAACATTTCACCTGACTTTCTACCGCTTGCCACTAGACAACCTAGGCAACTATTTTCAAAAAGCGTCTGAATACTATTCGAACGCTCCACTATGACTGCCGTTGACACTATTTCAAGAGGGAAGAAGAGTGCCGAAAATTATTCCTTACCCTCTTGAAGCCTCCAATTCTCCGCACGATCATCCCTCTAGGGATACTTCTTTCCCTGCATAGTGCTATTGGTGCTCATCACATGATTGTGCTTAGCGCTGGTTGCACTCACATAACCAACCTTGAGCAAGCCAGCAAAGTGCTACAGCCCTGTAGTACAACTCACACTACTTACCCTGGCGTAAATTCTCGCTCAAAATGGCTGCCTTGGATACAGCGTTCTACATCATACCTTTCATACATTGGGGCATGATCGTCTCATTGTTCATTGTATCGGGTATGTTACTCTCAATAGGACGAAGGATAATGAAGTATACCCACTTAACATATTGTTTAGGCATAGCATGGTCCTTCAACCTGTGGGTCGTGCCAATCATTAAGCTGAACCCATCAAAAAGCGCCATCGCACAGCTGCTGGAGACATCCCGACGCGGCGGGGCTTGGCTGGAGCCATTGAATGCGAGCTTTGCATTCTTGTTCGGCATAACGGCTGCTCTGCTTTCGCAACACTCTGATACAAGTGTAGCTTCACAATGGAAGCCGTTTGCGGCCTCGTTTGCTACGTTGCTTCAGGTAGCATGGTGGGAAAGAGTGATGATCTTTCCGCTTGAGGAATCGATTGCGAATCTAGGAAAGGGCAAGGAAAAGAGCGGGGGTGCCGAAGGAGCCTGGATGGACCATGAGACCAGTAAGGTCCTGCACAAGTCTCTGGATGAGTGGTCTAGATGGCATGCAGTTCGCGCAACGCTGCCGTTGATCGGCTCGCTGATCGCATTTGTCACGAAACTACAGAATGGGGATTGACTCGAGGATTGTGGAAATGTAAATGGACAGCGGAGAATGTCTCAATGACATGTGTACGCTGATCGAAACGATAGTGAGAGTGTAAGCAGGGGGTAGTCATGGATTCTGGTTATCCAGAGCACCCAAAGGATGTAGATAAAGAGTGGAGAACAGCTGAATAGCTGATGATCGCATTAGTTCAAGCCTGCATGACGATGATATCACATAGCGGCTTAGCATAAGCACAATGAAATACGAGTAATATTAGCGAGAATGCCAAAGATACCATTGGTCATCTGATTTATTTATTCGCGTACGAATTCTCGTTCCACCCTCGGTGCACCGTTTTAGCCTCCCCGACGTATCGGTACTACAAGAAATGCACACAATCGGCCCGATGTATGGATTTGACTGCCTGATTAGCAGAATGCTTCACCCTCCTTCGCGTTTCGACTATTGCTATTTAGGATTTTCGCGAGTAAGTGATAAGGTTTTGCTACAAGTATGTACGTACGTGTACGCAAGCAGATCATTCTCCGAGATGTTTTGCATATGCATGGGGTATAAGGTCATTGCGCACCCTGGCATTGAATCAACACAAAGGGAATAGTAAGAAATGCATGAGTATTGAAAGGCTCATCCGGGGAAAAGCACTAAAATGTTGTCTAACGCAATAAGAGATGGTGAAATTCTAATGGATGCAAAACGTAGACAAGTCACATCCACCAGAATCCCATTGTGCTTGGAACACAGTACTATTGACATTGGGTGATCACTGTATACGGACTGCACCCAAAAATTACCTAAGCTTGAGTACTCCATATCAGGTTAATGCATTTATTGAAACAATATGGGAACCTTGTGATACAGCGCGCCAATATCTGGCCAAATATGTTGTATTCATATTGTACTACTAGCAACTCTGCGGTACTATCACTGTTCGAAAATCTTCCCGTAGTCACCCTCAGACCACCGGATACCAGGTTCAAGGCCTGCGAACTTCCACTCACCGTCGACCTGACGATAATGTAAAGTAGCATTCCCATGCGCATGACCCTTGTATAGCACCTGCGTAAGCGCATCATCCTCATACTTCTGATGCGCTACACGCATTTGATGGTGTCCGATGATGTAACCAGGTTCCTTCTGGATCCACTTTGTCTGGCCCATGAAATGTTGTGTCTTGATGCGAGCATTACCAAGAAACCTGGGGCTGGAAGCCATGCCGAGGAACTCTGCAGCTGGCATTTTTTCCCAAATCATTCCCATCACGGTGCGGTAGTCAATCTTGGAATAGGTTTAGTGCTGACTCGCAGATAAGATAGGGGTTGGAGGACTTACGTAGAGTTCGGGTGCGAGGCATCTTGAAAGACGGTCCCAGTCTTTACTATCGTAGCTCTCAGCCCATTCAAATGCGGCAGCTTGACACTCGATAATGTCTTTAACTAGCATGTTAACTTTGGGCTATGAATTCAAGGTGGCTGGGATCGAGATATTACCTGCTGGGGCTGGTCTGACTTCTGTCTTGTGAGGCATGGTGTTTCCCTACGAATTCCTTCCCAATTAATTTTTGATTATTTAGTGGATGCAAATCCCAACTTGCATCCATAATAGTACATTTTTGTAGGAATCTTTTCTAAGTTGTGACGGTCGAACATCGGCTGGTTCTATACAGTCTTGTTGCGATCGCAGGCTTGGCATCGGAACATATCGAGAACTGACCTAACTCAGCATTAGCCCGAGCCCAGTTTCAGTCGTGGGAAGTCGGAGCAATCGAAATCACTGTTCATTGGACAAGAGTGCAAGGGCAATGCATTTTCTATGGACGAGGCATCGAACATTGTGTGTGCAGAAGTAAAGTCATGGGTTGATAGGGACGGACTGCAATCAACATGTAGAAATCTCGAAAATGTGTAAATCTGACTAAAGAAAAAATCTCTTAACTTCAATTTTTTCCCTACTATAGGTGTATTTCAATTGTTTGCGAAGTAGTTAGGGTTGATATTTAAAGACAGCCTTGATGTAATTGCGTGTCACTCGGTGTTCTACATGATATCTGCGAGACAAAAATTTGAAACTTGTTTTTCTATGTCGCAAAAAACGCACATGAGCATGATCCCAAAATTCAATTTCAATTTGGTATCCATTATTCACACTATTGATAGCCAGACATACGCTACAAGAAAACCTAAAGCAACATGGTATAACTACGCAGGCCCCGTACCAGATGGCAAATAAGGGTACAAGAAAGGAAAATAGTACGACAGTAATCCGCAGATGATGCACTTTGGCGTGCCCTTGGGGAACTTGGCCTTGCCACCCGCATTCACCACGCCAACATTCTTATTATCCCACTTGCCCTCGTCATCCTCCGCCGTTTCAATCATACCAGCCGCAATATCAAGGTATGAAACAAACGATTCTTCGTCGTCCAAAGTGAGCCTGTGACCCCTCTGCACATCCACCGACAGACCTCCTGGCTTGATATAAACGCACTTGACCCAGTCTTCATGCTTTCGGAGGAACTCTTCAGCAAGCTCCAAGTCCCGGTACACGTGCCATGCAGATCGACGAACAATGGCATTGACCCAAGGGTTCTTTCGGCTGATCCAAGGATCAATGGTAGCGGAGGACAGCAATACCAGCCTTGGCATCGGTGTAGCCTGGCTTCCTTCAGACTTTATCTTTTCTAGCCCTTTGATAACGGTGTGCGCAAGGTCTTGGCTGATGTGGCATCCAGGCACGTTGTCGTTGGTGGTAGCTGTAAGAAAGACAGCTTTGCAACCGTACATTGCCTTGCCGAGCAGATCGGCGTCTAGAATGCTGCCAGTATAGACTTCGACCCTGGGGTTGTTTGCGGCTTCAGGGACTAGTCTGAAGAGCTTGTCTTTGTTGCGGCAGTAGGCTTTGACTTTGGCATTGGTATTCTTGATGAGAAGCTCGAGGAGGGCAGTGCCGCAATTGCCAGTGGCACCGAGAACTGCATACGCCACCATTTTGGGAGGATATGAATTGTACGTTTGAATTAAGCTGAGGAGAGAGCCGCTCCACTTATTCTAGTAGTTGCTTTGGAGATTGACTGGCTCAACTCCATATTATCCATTCTCGATGGCATTTAATAGAAATGATTTTGGAAGTTGTATGAAGAGTGCAGACATCATGCCGGGTTCATTGGCTGAAAAGATCCACCGAGAGAATACTACCAACAGGCGTGCCGATCACCGGCACATAGATCTCTGGAATTGCAGCGCATACTGCTTTTCCGAATCGAAGTGGTTGTCAAGGCCAAATCACAGTTCTTCTATGGAACATTATTACCATCTAGCGCTTAGCCGACTTCGAGATCATAATCCGATCTAGGATAGCCCTGGTATTGAGCCTTGAACAAAGCGACTTGGCTCGTTCCGACGACCCCCCGATCGGGAGAAACCCATCGTTCCGTACCGACGCATGAACCCCGAGGCCCTGGAACAACCACACCCAACAACCACAACCCTCCAAACCTTAACATCAGATATCGGCCTAATGGTGATCTCGTGTACATACCTTTGCTGCGGTATGCTGCAAGTAAGCAAGGCTGGAAAGTATACACAATAGACCGCCTCAGAGTCTATCTACGGTCTGTATCATTCCTACAACAGCACTTAAGGGATACATAAACTCTACCATTTCACAACCACACATCATTCAACAGCATTTTAATCCCCAGATCCACTCTCTACCTCTAGCCCTCCCCCTTTTCAACCAGCCTCATCTTCAAAATGCCACACGTAGAAAGCACACCCTCGACCTACATCCCCGGCCGCCTCGACGGCAAAGTCGCCCTCGTCACCGGCTCCGGCCGCGGCATCGGCGCAGCCGTAGCCACGCATCTGGGGCGCCTGGGTGCCAAAGTCGTCGTCAACTACGCCAACTCGACCAAAGACGCGGAAAAAGTAGTCTCAGAGATCAAAGCGCTGGGTAGCGACGCCATCGCCATCAAAGCCGACATACGCCAAGTCGCAGACATTGTCCGCCTCTTCGACGAAGCCGTCGCGCACTTTGGCCACGTCGACATCGCCGTCAGTAATTCGGGAGTCGTAAGCTTCGGACACTTGAAGGATGTCACAGAAGAAGAATTCGACCGCGTCTTCAGCCTCAACACGCGCGGCCAGTTCTTCGTGGCCCGCGAGGCGTATCGCCATTTGACCGAGGGCGGTCGCATCATCCTCACTTCCTCCAACACCTCCCGCGACTTCAGCGTGCCCAAGCACTCGCTGTACTCCGGGTCCAAGGGCGCTGTCGACTCGTTTGTACGCATCTTCTCCAAGGACTGTGGTGATAAGAAAATTACGGTTAATGCGGTTGCGCCGGGGGGTACGGTGACGGATATGTTTCATGAGGTTTCGCATCATTATATTCCGAATGGGCTGGAGTATACGGCGGAGCAGCGCCAGCAGATGGCGGCGCATGCGTCGCCGTTGCATAGGAATGGGTTTCCGCAGGATGTGGCGAATGTAGTTGGGTTTTTGGTTAGTAAAGAGGGCGAGTGGGTTAATGGGAAAGTTCTTACGCTGGATGGTGGTGCGGCATAAGGGAGTAGAAGTAGAGCGGTATTTTGATGGAGATGAGAAGCTATTGTTAGATTTAGAATGTATGGTTTTTTTTTCCTTGTTAGATTTTCATCGCTGCGAGTGATTTAGTGGTGAAGCTAGATATGGAATCACTGCCTTCTCAAGTCTGTCTTGCAACAAATTTTCATCAGTGCAAGATTGTGCTGCCAGCGCAGGTGATGCGATTGAATTATGCCGAGTACCATCATACAGTCTTGAATTACAGAGAAAAAAGAGTACTCGACAATGTAACACAACAGGTTTCTAGTTGACCGTCCCTCAACCAACAACCAATTTCCCAGTAAACCTACAAGATGGATCTTTATCTTCTCTATCGCACACGAAAAAATCAAGTACGTAGCTCTCGTGGCAATATCCAATCTTATCTTTTCGTCCATCAAAATCCAATCACACAGCACGAAGTTCATCAACACCCCTGCTTTTCTCACAATCACCGTTCGCACCATTAATTGCTTGAAATCTAAAGCATAAAAGTTGCATATCTTTTATCCTAATCTATGAAAATTGGTATTAAACATCTGTATCTTTCAAATTGAGAAAAAAAAACGCCTGCAAATGCCGCAGTAGCAAGCGAGAAAAGAAAAAACATTCAAGTCGTATACCACGCCTCTCGCCAATCATGCACCACCCACCAACAGATACCTCTACTGCTCCGCCTTCTTACTCGCCTTCGTTCTCAACTTCATAAGCAAATAAACAAGCGCATACCCGCTCAACGAAAAAATAACACAAATGCCAGCATCCCTCCACCCAAAATACTTCTCTGTCAAATTAACAGTAGCAAGGTAATCCCTGCCCCACGTATACTGACAAACGCGACAATCCGCTGTCGCATCCGGGTTAACCAAATTCGTGCGTCTGCCGGGGCCTTGGAGCCACGCCTCCAGGTACTCCCCACAGGTCTGATTGCCCTGACCAGCGGGTGGACTGAAAATCGCAAACTCACTCTCCTTACACTCAATCTTCCAGTCCCAATCCGTAAACACAAGCAGCGAGCCAATCAAGTACTTGAACGGATCAAGGTAGTAAATCCAGTAGCGCCAGAACTCTTGTATATTATCGTAAGGGATGAGGACGCCGCAGAAGCAGCACAGGACGGCGAGTAAGAGCGGGTTGACGAGCGAGGCGAAGACGGCGTTGGGGGCGTAGGCGGCGACGAATTGGCCGAAGCCCGTGTAGATGAATTGGTAGATGAGGAAGACGAAGAAGACTGCACCCGCGCTGCTGGGGTCGGTGGGCAGGCCCGAGGCGAAGTAGAAAACCAGATAATACAGTACTGCGCAGATGACGAGATACGGCATCTCGGAGACGATGAGTGCAGTGACAAAAGCTTGCCAGGAGTACATTTTGGATTTCTTCTCGCGTGTTTCGTAGACGTCGCGGCGCTCGAGGAAGATGGGTTGGAGCTGGGCGATTACGCCGGGCGCAACGAAGATGTATTGGAAGATGGAGAAGAGGATGTATTTTTGGTCGCCTACTGAGGGCCCGATTTGCCAAAAGGTGAAGCCGATGAAGAAGGCGACGCCGCCGTGGAGGAGGAGCTTGTTGTTGAAGTAGGCTGTGTCACGGAAGAAGCTGACGTTCATGCGGTTCGTGACGAGTTTGGTTTGTGTCCAGAAGGTTGTGGCGAATTCGTAGCCGTCGTCTTTGGTGCCGGGTTCTTTGCTCGCGGCGTCGGAGATGATTTCGTCGAGGTGCGTATTGAGGGCTGCGGATTCGGGCGAGTTGAGCCAGACTTCGTGCCAGTCTTTGCCGCTGGGGTGGTAGCCGCTCACGACGTCGATCATGTGTTCTGCTGGGTTGGCGCCGCGGGGGCAGGGCGCACCGTAGCGGCCAAAGTACTCTTTGATCTTGTCGGCATTGTCGCCAATCTCGCCAAAGTAGACGGTCTTGCCACCGCTGGCGAGGAGAAGGAGAACATCGAATTGGGCGAAGAGCAAGGCCGAGGGCTGGTGGATAGTGACTAGGACTGCTTGACCGACGTCGGCAAGTTTTCTCAGGAAGCGAACAGTGTTGAAAGCTGCCTGGCCATCTAGACCAGACGTCGGCTCGTCGAGGAAGATGAGAATAGACGGCTTAGAGACAAGCTCAACTCCGATAGTGACACGCTTGCGTTGCTCGACCGAAAGTCCCGCACCCACTGTTCCAATAAGCGTATTCTCAAGGTCGTGTAGTTCAAGCAGATCAATAATAGTATCCACGTATGCGAGCTTCTCCTCAATAGGGGTATCGCGGCTTTGACGGAGTAGGGCTGAGAATTCAAGAGCCTCTCGTACAGTAGAGTAAGCATCATGAACGTCGAGTTGTTCGCAGTACCCAGCAGATCGTTGGAAAGAAACTGGCAGGGGTCGACCGTCAACCAATATTTCACCTTTAATTGTTCCAGCCGTCTTTCGTTGGGCAAGAACATCCAGTAGTGTCGTTTTGCCAGCGCCAGAGGATCCCATGAGGGCACCAAGCATACCAGGTTTGACATAACCATGAACATTGTTGAGAAGAGTGCGATCACCTGAGGGGGTCTTGACGGTGTAGGTTAAGTTGCGCCAGGTAAAGATTGAGGTGTTGCGAATAAGACTAGTGCCTAGCTTGTCATTTGCCCCATCTGTAGTACCAAGCGTGTCGTTGTTGGGCGTGATCTTTTCGGCTTGCAGAGATTCCTCATCCTGAGTCTGAGATGCGCGAAGTCTTTGGACGTACTTTTGCTTTTCGCGTGGGATGTAGGCAGTGCTCGAGCTGGAGGTGTCGTTCCATCGAAGCGTGAAGATGATTGTGCAGGCAATGAAAAGAAGCCACCATGCGAAGAGGATCCCCACATTACGCCAGATATTGGATGGAGAGTAGGACAGACTGTCTAGGTATTCTTGTCCGCTCAGCGAAGTTGCGCCACGTCGCGCACCGCGGATACCTGCACAGGATTGTGCGCTTGGATCCTGATATTGAGGCAGATAGTTCGGGATGAGACTGTCGTAGACGCATGGGATGGTGGTTCCATCATACTCATTTGCCATGACAGCCTCGAATCCATATGCCAAAGGATTGATCCAGTAGACCCAGACAAACCATGGGTGCATGTCAGGCTTTGGTATTTCGTATCCTGTACAAATCAGTGAATGTTCTTGGTCAAAAATGTCGCTATTACGCACCCATGTAGACAATTGTCGCGGTGATGGCGAAGCCCGAAACCTTGGATGCAGAGTTGAACGAGGGGAAACCTGCACCAATCGTCCTCATCATGGCAGTCATGGCCAAAGTGACGACGTAGACGACAAACCAGTTGGTGAAGAACGCTGCCGCAGTTTCCTTCAATGCGGTCATCCAGTACACGATCAAGACAAAAGAAGCTGTCTGAAAGATCAAAATCGGAATATCGGCGGCGACTTGTGCAATGCAAAAAGCAGCTGGGTTGAAGAATGCAAAATTCTTCTGCTTCGCCAAGATGGGACGACCAACGAACGAGTCGTTAACCTCTGAAAGGGTGAAGAGAGCATTGAATAGAAGAGACAGGAACAGAGCGCCGGACTTGAGGAACAAGCCAGCAGTGTTGTCTGGTGCATTATAGAAGAGCGATCCAGAAATCAAAGCTTGAATGATATTGGTCGCTTGTCTCATGATCAGACTCGGTTTGTCTCTCCATAGGACTTGGTATTGGCGGACTACGCAAGCCTTGACTTGATCGGGGAACGATACTGTCATGGGTGATGACTTTGGAAGTTGTCCAGATTTCTCTGCTAAGACGGATTTGACGAATGCCTCTGTGGTAGCCTTGGCCTCTTCCGTAAAGGGATAATCGAGTTCTTGATCCATCTTGGCCTTGATGGTCGACTGCTCATAGGCATATCGTATGTCGGTGTTCTTTCGAGGAAAGGTGGTTTCAAAACCAGGCTTGATTTGTCGTTCGCTGGGCACGGTGACACCAGTGAGATAATCGGCGATGTTTGCTCCATCTCCACAGACGAACCCAAGGCTCTCCATTAAAGGCCGAGCCTCCTCGCGGGAACCATAGTAGATCTGCTTGCCCTGATCGAGGACGAGGACCTTGTCAAACAGATCGTAGATGCCGTTGCCAGCTTGGTACAGAGTGACAATGGTGGACATGCCCATGGTGTCTGTCAGGCATCGCAGTGCACGGACATACTCGAGAGCAGTGGAGGCATCCAGGCCTCGTGTTGAGTTGTCCCAACATACAACACTGCCACGTGTTGCGAGAGTTTCAATGATAGAGACTCGCTTCCTCTCGCCACCAGAAACACCTCGCACGTATGCGTCACCGACCTTTGTACCCTCTGTGTGTGCAATGCCCATTGAATTGAGGAGGAATTGCTTAAAGTTGCGTCGGGCCTCGGTGCGGCTGGATCCATTTCCTTCGAAGTTGGCAGGCATGTTCAGACGAGTGGCAAAATCCATGGTCTCGCCAACAGTGAGTGTTGGGTAGAACAGTTCCTCCTCGTTGTTGATAACAATACTACCAGAGTATTGCTTAGCTTGTTCAGCGTCGAGAGATCCATAATAAACTTCGCCATCTACTTGGGCATATCTGGGAGGATATGATCAGCTTTTGTAGGGGGAGGTTCAGCTGTGTGGTACATACCCATTACGCTTGTTGGCTAGCATTTTGAGCAAAGTTGTGCATCCAGAGCCTGGGCGCCCCAAAACCAGAAGCATCTCTCCAGGACGGACACATCCAGAGCTGGACTCGAGAATGGGCTTCAGAGCTGGTTTTGCGCGAAAGTCCTTGACGAGCTGGAGAATATTGAACTGACTGAGAATGTTCTCCTTGAATCGTTCGTCGGCAGGAACTACGCTGACACTGAGGTTCTTCCATGTGACGCCTAGCTTGCGGCTGCTGGCTTGGTTGTTGATGTCAAAGTATTTGAGATCTTTGGCCAGCCTCCATTGCTCAACCTGAGTGTTTGTTGAACTCTGGTCTGCACCGTCTTCCAAATCTTTGACTTCGTTTTGTTGGTGTTTTTCGGTGGGCGAAGGGGGTATAGAGGACTGAGTGGATACGTTTACATCGCTGCCAGCAAGTTCTCCCGGGACAGGGGCTGGTCTGCCCTGGCTGTCCATGGTGAAAAACTATAGTCGGACAACAATGCAAGTAACAAGCAGGTCGGTATGACAAAGAGCAGGTGGTACGAATTAGCAATGGACGCCTTGGACATGTTGCTCGAGACATATATTATAGCAAACTGTTTCGGGGTTGAGTGTATCGAGCTTCTCGATGGTGAGAAAGGATCACCAATCTGGAGATCGGATACATGTGGAAAATGCCAGGGCATGAGGCTGCAATGCTGCAGTGGTAATCCAACCAATGCGGCAGCGTACACACGAGCTGGTACATGGAACGTGGACACCGCGGGCGCCGAGGGAAGCCTAACGCATGTGATTGTCGGGCACTAACAAGCGTTTACAACATGACGGCACGGCAAATGGACAGGGTTTGGCGGTGGGCCTTGGACGTAATGGGAGAGTGGGAGGTGGTGACGATCATGGCCACGGGGCCCGTGGACACCGAGCCCGCCACGAGCGCTGCCGATCATTGCCCAGAAGCGAGCACGCACCAGCAGCTTGCAGCACGCCAGCCAAGCCTCTATCGTTTGCACAACACCACACAGTGCCTTGATTCAGGGTGAAATTGCCTTTTGACATGTATCTATCTACATTTGACGCAAAGCATCGCAGTCGGTGGTGTGGGCTTGCTATCTGTGCCGCACATGTGCATGAAACGTACCTCACCGCCACCATGACAGTCGTGTCTATGACTCTATCTACTATGCACGAGTGGGTAACTGGCCATAGAGACCGATGAATATAAACGTCTTGCAGCGCCGCGCCCATGCCCTGCGCCATCCGCCCTACAACCTATGTAGGTGCATGCCGTGCCAATCAAAACTTCTTTATGCCACTACCTGCTGCGTCGTATCCTAGAATCACAACCCGGTACAGATCCAACGAGGGTATGCATGGAAAGAGAATGCGTATCATATCCCATCAAAAAAACAGGAAATGTGGTATAATCTAGCAAACAAGGTATACAAAGGAAAACAAAAAGATAGAAAAACCGAGACGACGCATTAAACCGCATTTGATGCGGAAGTGATGAAGCAGGCGATACCACCGACTCAACTCTCCTTGAGCGCATTCCTCACGGCTGCGGATAGAAAGCCGAGACTACTACGGGCGTCAACTTCGACCGCCTCGAGCGTACGGGCTGAGAGAGGCATGAGTGCCGGATCCATGGCATTTGGCCGAAAGAGCGTCGTGGGCATCGTGCGCCTGCGGCCATAATAACTGCGCTCTAGTTCACTTTGCGCAGGGAGTGAGTCAGCAGGGTGAGGGTTGAGACCCTTTAGTCTGGCCGAGAGTGAAGTTATCAACCGTTGTACAGAATGCAGTTCGCGCAAGACTTGCTGCTTGGCTTGTCGATGACAAGGCTGGTGGCGGCCCGTTGCCGTTGGTGTGGCTAATACGGGGCTTCCGTGCCCGCTAGTCATGGGGACACCGTCCATGGCGTTGCTAGTGCCAACCCCAGGCCCACCCGTCAGCGCAGCAGCAGAAGCGTACCATGACAGCATCTTCATCGTGATGAGCAGCGCGACAACAATGAGCAGCTTGTCGTCGCGGCAGTTGTTGCAGTTGACCAGAGCAAGCATGGCCTGAATCGTTTGCTTGTTTTTGGCCAGGATGAGCTGAGTCAGGGGGTTCCCGGACACCACAGATGGGTCCGAGCAGGGGTTTTGAGTGATGGTTTTGAACAAATCAAGTGCCTTGTGCAGACAGTTACAGTTAATCCCCTTATCCGCTTTTAAGACGGTCGAGTTTACTGCTTCTGGATGCGCCGGCTGGCTGCATGACTGGCCGCCGGGTAGGGCTGTTAGCGCAACAACGTCTCTCGGTAGACTTGGGTGCCTTGACGATGACGACGACGACGATGACGATGATAATGATGATTCTGATGACGATGCTGACGAAAACAATGGTGGCATTGAAGATGCCGACGACATCAACGATCCCGAAGAAGACGCGCGCGAGCTTGATTCGGTGGAAAAGTTGCTAGTTGATGGAACCAAGAGGTCAAACGGCGATTGAGAGCCAGTGCTGCCGTCTAGCATATCCAGGCCCAAGGTAGAGTCGAGCGGTAGGCCTGTCGCCATGGGCGCAGCAGAGGAGTCCCAGTCCATGAGATCGGTATACATGGGCGCATCGATAGCGGCGAGCGTGTCGAGACAGTCGTCCCATATGCCATTAGCCGAGCTACTATTGTCGAGATTGAAGGGTGGGAAGAAGTCTGGGGGCAGGGCGTCGGATGCATCCATGTGCGTCTGGAACGAGTCGACGCGGTGGTGGGCACCGGTGCTGCATTGTGCCCGCCCGGCCGGGAGTGTCGTCGAAGATGCAGGCGATAGGAGTAGCGAGGCGGTACCATGGTCTGTTGTGGTGCTGGCGTGTGGCGAGGGCGACGGAGAATTTCCATGGTCGAGGGTATAGCCTGCATCTGCTGTCCCGGCTGCCCGGCTCTTGGTTTGGTCGGTCGAGAGCGAGGCTGCACGACGTGCACTACTCCCTGGCACCCGTCCTGGACGCTTGCAGTGCAAGTACCGGCACTCGATGCCTTTACTCTCACAGCGAGAGCATGACGGGCGTTCCTTTGTGCAACGGACTTTTGATTTGGCACAGGCCTGGCAGCAGTCGCGCACCTTAAGGCTGCCGTTGGGGCGGGCAGCAGCAGGGCGCGAACCACCGGCCGTGGTCGGCGAGGCGGCGGTGATGGTGGTGGTGGTCGACATCTCTCAATCTCAACACTGCTTCTCTGCCCTCTGGAAGTGTAGATGGCATTCGGCATATGTGTATGTACCTAGACGGCCAGGACGGTGTGCACACCTTTAGTATCCATCATGGCCTCTTCCAGGCTGCTCCAAGATGATAATCCCACACAGGCGCCGCCCGGGAAGCCAACGCCTATCACGGCTCGTGCACAGCGCTGGCGACGGCCTTGTGTCACTGTTGCCTCGATTGCGCCCAAATCATCGATCGTGCGGCTATATGGTTCCTGGGATCGTGCATGAAATCGCCAGCCTCGCAGGCCTGACGCCCTTCAGCGGCCGGGTCCCCTCGTCGCCAGTGGCTAGCGGACCGCAAAACATACCTCTCTGTATGCATGTTGCCCACGTCCCTGATAAATCCCACTCATCGGGCCCTGCACATCCAGGATACCGCCAGGGCATTGATTGGCCTACCCACCAAGGTAACCTCGTATACTGCCGAAGACGCTCCTAGCACTCAGCCATCGCCCTGCACGTGTCGAGAACGCCCCAGAGTACCACCGCCAACATGCCCGCGGACCCACCCGACATGTTCCCAAGCCTGTTTGCAATTGTGCATCCTCGCTCTTTTTGGACCCCGGCCATGCTGGATCCTTTGCCTTGGACCCCTACGTATGCCTAGGCCGTCGTAGTAGTGAGTGAGTTGCCCCGTCGTCTCGGAAACATCGCGGGGTAATCCTTCTAGTGGCCGCTTTCTCGGGATTAGCCTCATGCACACCAGCCTTAGTCACCTATCCTTCCCTTCCCACCGTTCGCCCTTTGTCCTTCCTTGTTCCAACTTTCAGCCTCACCGTACCAGAGCGGATCCCAGTGGGCCATCCCTCATCAATGCCGACAGGGTAGTTTTCCGCCTCACCAGAGTAGAACCCACTACTATGCGTGTGTAGTACTATGGTGACCTTGGCACAGCTGTTGCGTCATCTTCCGTATTACGGCATTCTTACATTCACTGTCATACAAGATTACTACAATTTCACGTACCAAGGGCCAAGAACATCCTTGGGTAACAGCAAATCATGCCACCCGTCATCAAAACATTCGATATGCTAGCCAGACACGGCAAAATCTAGCTACTAGTCGACAAATTACACTATAAACCCGCCAATTGATTGGCTGTGCCGAAAGCGTTAGCCCTGCAGCGATGGCCATGGCGCGTCCATACTCTCCCGAATTTGGCCATTGTGAACCCACTCCTCAATCCACCCAATCGTCATCCTACAAACCATTAACCATGAGTCGCATTCCGCCTTAGGTTACTGCTCATCAGCAAACTTACTGGCTACGACTAGTATCGGCAAACTTCTCGTGATCCCCAAATAGACGGCTCTTGTACCATGGATCCTCTCGCAGCCTCTTGTAGTCCCCCACGCTCTCAAACACGACTTGGCTGAAGCAGTCGTAGTCGGCCACGTTTGCCATCTGTGCGTCATACAGCTCACTCATGAGCTCCCGCGTTTCTTGCGGATTGTGGATGACGGTCCAACGCTTGATTCCGTGCTTCGCCATGAGATCCTTGGTGAGCGGAGCGGATACTTCTATCATGTGGCGGCGATAGTCCTCCTCGCTTAACCCTGGCTTGCGGTAGCCGAGAATGGTCAGACACAGATACTTGCTTGGCGGGAGGCCTTTGTCGCGATGCCCGTTGGCCGCCATTTTCTCAAAGTGGAACGATTTGACGACTCGTAACGAGACTTGGTGTGTCAATTGTATCATGAGTTGATCAAACAGCTGCCGTTTATATCCCATGCCTCCATTCTTCCCCGATCAGGTCCCCCTTACGATATGGTCCGGAATAACCGAAGCTCTGTACTCGGGTCCCGAAAGCTGCCTCATCCTACCGTGTACCAGCACATTGGACCGTGAAAACCCCCCCCGTGGGAGGCATGGTACGTCACATCAGCCACGTGCACCTTACATCGTCTCCCCACGGAAGATTACATCAACGCCATTGATGCAATAGAACACATACTGAGGTGCGGAGGCTCCGATGTGAACCCCTACCCAGTAAGTAGTACAAATCGGACCGTATCTTATGTCATCCTACGTCGCGATTCGGGATGTATATTTGCGAGCTAACCAACATTCGGCCGTGGCCATGTTTCGAGGCCGTTTGCTCCGCGGGAAAGCCCCGGGTCACTCCGTTCTTCTCGTATCGGATCCTTTTCGGAGCACGCAGTGTGGGGATACCCGCAACTCTAGTTGCCAAAGGGCGTGACGGAATCCTTGTGAGAAGCAGGATATTCGCAATATGCGAGTTCTGAATTTAATCGGCATCTGATTGCATCATTTCCGTTGAAAATCCTTTCCAACTGGCAGAAACTCAACGGAGCCTGCCGAACTCCAGAAGATGCCTACCAGTGCCAGTCGAGCTAAGCTTGCCTTGATGTCGCTTTGCCTTTTACCAGGATAACCCAGATTGCTTGAACAAGCTAAAAATTCCGCTACAATGCTTGTAGTCACGACATGGGGAAACGTCGCATAACTTCTCACTTTAAACTAGACATGGGGATGCGACAGCGACAATCTAACGCCCCACTTGAATATTCCTCGATATGACCATTTGTTATGGCACATGGACGCGGATGGCACAGTTCATTGGTACTTGATTACATTGTGGATACATTTCTACTGTAGAGTTTCAAAAAAAAAGTAGTATGTACATTAACTCGGTAAAGTTTGTTAGATGAGCTCAGCGCCCTCACAAGATTGATATTTGACCACTAACGCAATAGTAGCCCCGTCGGCGGACCGAACGCGGTTCTTGACCACTAATTTCCCGCGTGCGTCAGATATGCTTTCTGTAAGTTCGTAAAGTTCAGACACCTCAATGGCCCCGTTGCCGGTGAGGTGCATGTCCGTGAAGTCGAGAAGCCGTACTCGGGTCTCAACATTGATGGCTACTGATCCTGGTTCAGGCAACATTGCCGGTGCCAGAATCAACAAGGCCATTGGATTGGCTCGGAGAATACCGAAATGTGCCTTGAGCTCCATTGCGATAAGATCGTCGGCCGTGTAACCACGTGTGTTCGCTGCGCAAAAAGAAGGATGTAGAAGATACACTGCTGCGTCTTTTACCGGTTGCACTGCGGTCGGTTTTCTCCGTTGTATTATGATGCGTTCGCTGGTGATCAAATCCTTGTCGCCGTTACCAACCCCAGAGAGACCCGCGTCCGTGGGTATAACATCATACGTCTGTACCGTCAATCGAAGGGCTGGAGCAGTCTGGGCCAGGTCCCGCGCCAGGCTTGTGTCGTTGTCACATATCTGTCACAGTCGTATTCTGTCAGCAAAGACTAGTCACAATAGCAACTCAACTTGGTTCTTTGGTCACTCACATCGACAACGCACGCGTCTCCTAGGCTACGCCAATTAAGTAGATTTGGCAAATATGCAAGCTGGTTGCTCATGCTGCCCATGCTCTGACGGTAGGCCTGCCATTGTCGGTTCGTTTGTGGTTCCTGGGATACAAAGTCCAACAGTCGTGATGATTGTAGGCTGGTTGCGCTGCCATCGTGCTCGCTTGCGAAAGAGGTAAGATCGAGGGATGCCGGGGCCACTTTGTTTGCCAAAAACATGGCAGCGTCGAAATATGATAACTCGGTCGTAAATGATAACGACAGAGACGTATGTGCAACATGTCCGTACTGAGGCTCATACAGAAAACCTGCAGTAGCAGTCATCCTCACAACTCGGCTGAGCGTATGCTCCGGCACATCGGCTAGATTCGCAAGCTCCTCGAGTGAGATGGTGTCATCTAATGGTATATAGGCGATGATTTGATACTCGCCCATCCATTTTAGACAGGCCAAAAGCTGATTCTGTCGCAAATTACAGGCTTAGCTGATTGGTGTCAAGAGGACAAGATACATCTTGTTGACAGAGCGAGGTACACTGACATACCTGTGTGGCTAGGGATTGTATGAAGCTCGCAGGACCAGCCAAAAGTGTTTCCAAGCGAGAGGAGATTCCGCTGAGGCTACTATGCGCCAAGGCGATTTCATACTCTAGGTTTTCTACTCTAGCTGGAGGAACCAAGACGTCGATTGTGGGCTCCTTTGTAACGGCAATGCTGCCCTGGCTGTTGCTATCGCACAGTGCTTTGAGTCTCTTAGCAGTAAGGGCGAGTTCGGAACAGAGTGTGTCTAGCTGGCTGAGATCCATGTTTGTAAAGTTGCAATATAGTAATACGGTTTGAAAAGAAGCAGAATAGCTACTTCAAGGCATGGTATGTAAAAATAATTAAAGCAGCCACTACACCCTCTCGTATGTGTATGCGTAAGCACGTAGGTGATGACACCCCTGTACATGTTGCATATAATTTCTGTACGTCCTGGTATACAGTACATATCCGGCGCGTCGTTGTCACCACAAGCGGAACTGGATGCTAGCGTAAGGTGCTCAGGATAAGATCATCGGAGGTCATTGGCAAGGGCTCCGCCGTCTTGGCACATGTGAAAATCTTAGCCTCCTTTCCATTTCCGTTTCGGCCCGCAGGGAACCTACACCCACTTTTTCCCCCAATTTATCGAACAGGGATCCTGTTTGCGGGAACATCGCCCTGGGCCTATTGCGGCTCCTGACGCTCCCTACTTTGATGACATGCTCGCGGGATTTGATCACGTGACCGGGACGCTAGCTGACTACAACATCAGCAGCGTAATCGCTATGCATCTCGCCTAATGATACCTCAACAGGTTTTGGAGACGCGTAGATGCACCTATTACTCTTACACACCAATGATCAACCGATAGTGCAGCAACTTGGGGGTTTGCCCCGCGTCATGTACCCGAAATCTGTTCTCCACGCGGCAGCCCTTTGTTCCGACCATTCCTTCCGCCTTGAATTGGGGGCCGATCTCTAAAGCGAAACATCTGACCCCTAGCAAATAGTCCCGATCAAAACCCATCTTCGGCTCATACACCTCCTGTCGAGTGAACCCTTTCGCCTCACAGCCACCTAACCGGAGGATTTTGGCCCAGCATGTTCGGAAGAAATTCAGCCTCGTTACCAACGTGGCATTTCAGCATTTTCGGGACAGATGAACGGTTTGCACGAGGTACCATGAATCCTTCGTGATATTAGAGTAGAGATAAAAAGAAAGCCATTGACATGCTGTAACTTTAGTCAGAAGTCGTCAGCCAGCTCAGCCCACTTGTTGGATATAGACACACGTAACCATTCTTTGTCTGATTATAGCAAATCCTATCCAACCCTTGCACTGTTTTTTTTTGCCCAGAAAAAAAACCATCACAATGGGCGACTACGGCAGCACGGAATCTCAGACACTTGACGTCGATGTCCTCATTGTTGGCGCGGGACCTACAGGTGCCTCTTTAGGCAGCTTCCTCGGATCTCACGGTAAGGCGTGCCATCTGACATACTTCCGTCTTATGCAACATTGCGCAAAAAGCATGCTGACTGGAGTTACCACATGGAAGGGATCACAGGGTTGCAGATCGACGCTGAGCCTGGCCCGTCGCCGCGCCCGCGTGCCAATTACGTGAACATGGCTGGCCTTGGTACGTAGGATTCGCTTCCTTAAGCCGTTCTCGGGTAAGAATACGGTAGGCGCTGACGACTGTTCCACAGAATGTCTTCGAGAAATTGGCGTTGAGGCAAAGGCGCAAAAAGTTGCTTGGCCCGTCTCAGAGTACTCGACCTATACTCGTTTCTGCAAGACGCTTGTTGGTGAGGAAATCTACAGAGCCCATGTGTTTGGCAACGATCCCCATCGACATGTAAGGCCTCCATTCATTGCACGTGGATCTTGAGAGGGCTGAGTGCTAATTACGGGAACAACTAATGCAGGGTGATTATTTCGATGCAAGTCCATCCAAGACTCTGTGTCTCTGCCAGTCCGATCTTGAGCCCTTGTTGCTCGAACATTCTGAAAAACATGGTTTCCCAACACGTTGGAACACGAGACTGGTCAGCTTTACCGAAGATGCAGAAAAGGGTATTGTGATAAGCACACTTGAAAATACTGCTACAGGTGAAATCACCACTGTCCGTTCCAAGCAACTTGCAGGTGCAGATGGACCCGACAGTACCGTAGCACGCCAGCTCGATCTCCCCATGGTCCACGGCCCAGGCAATGGCTTCGTCATCAGTGTGTGGGTTGAAGCTGACCTGAAGCACCTTACTGAGCACAATCGCGGTCTACTCCACTACCTCGATCGTCCAGACAAGCCACAACCCGACTATGGCGTGCTAGGAATCGCGCACTTTATCAAGCCCTGGAACGACTGGGTGATTTCGCTGTTCCCGCACCCCACGTACAAGAAACTCGAGGCAACCGAGGAGCAGATCTTGGCCCGCATGAAGGAACTCGTCGGCGATGACACCATCGAGTACAAGGTCAAAGAGATCAGCACCTGGAATTTCGACGAAGTGTACGCTAAGCACTACTCCTCTCCCTCGGGCAATGTGCACGCCTTAGGCAACTCTGTGCACCGCCACCCGCCCTTTGGCGGCCTCGGCATCAGCACTTGCATGGAAGACTCGTACAACATGGCCTGGAAAATGGCCTACGTCCTCCAAGGCAAAGCCAATAAATCGCTCCTAAAAACATACAACGACGAGCGCCAACCCGCCGGCGAATACGTAGTCCAGCGCACCAACGAAAACGGGCGCCTAAACTTTGGCTTCTACGGCCAATTCGGCTTCCTCAATGAAATCGGCGTGGACCGCCGCGCCGAA